AATTAGTGTTGACTACTTGTAGTTCTGTCATTTAAGTAATGCTGAAGAAGAGTGATTGATGTCATACAGAACATCTGGAATTACTCTCCTTAATTTAACCAACTAGTTTAGTTTTTTTTCAAATACTGTTTACCTGGATGTCTAACCATTATCAATGCACTGTGAAAATGATTTTTGTGTCTTCTGACCCACCTACCCATTTTTAAGTTAACCATTTAAGACTCCAGTAAACACTCTATCTTCTCTTTAGTGCTAAATTAAATTCCTCAAGCCAAGCCCTCTAAATTGTTAAAAAAATGGACATACTTGGCCTAGTTGTTGCAATATGGTACAGTTTGAATGTTAAGTTAAAGTTCATTTGCGGATGTGTGCAGTATACAAAATTTTGACACAGAAACCATGATTTCACACCATCAACCTTGATATCAGCTCATTTGTCACGGTTATTGATTCAACTATATCCAGGCCGAGGCCACATGCCAGGTGCAGAGGCGACCTTTGTTGGTGACAATTGAAGAAGCCCCCCAGCAGAACACTAGGTGTGTTTTTAAGAGTCAATTCTGCATGAGTTACAGCAAGGACCTTTTGTTATTTTTTGTTCTAACTCCTTGATCACAGAAGAGATTAGCCTTTGTGCCATCCCCCATAGTGAGCTTGTCTCAGTTTCCTTCTGCTCACTTTATTAATGTTACTGGCTATGGTGGTAAATAGAGTGAATCTGTTCACAGCTATCATTTTAATTTTAGCTTGATAAGCTGTCACATGGCAGGGCTCGTAAATACTGGGTGCCCTTAGTGCACCCAAAATTGGAGCTGTGCACCCAATTTTTTTCTGTGGTTGCACCAGTGCATCCAAATATTTTCGCAGGTTTATGTATTACAGATGTAAATGTATAGTAGAATGCCACAAAATGCACCATATTCAGCATTCAAGTGTCAGAAAAAAAACAAAATCACTGTTATAGTATTTTTCTTCAGAAATTAAACACAACTAGTTTTTGCTGACATTCTACTTATTCAATTTCATGTGGTGCACCCAATTACTAGTATTTAGGTTGGGTTCACGGGTGCACGGGTGCACCTAATCCCAAAAATGAACTTCGAGCCCTGCATGCTAATTTGTGAACCGATTTACCATCCTAGGCAATAAGTAGGCATCCTACATCATGTTCTTGAAGCCACATCAATTTAATTTGTTGGTTCTTGGATTCATCTTATATATGGCTCCTATTGTTGCATTTGGGGCTACAATAGGATGCCTAACCCTGTTTTTGTTGTGTTTTTGCCCTGTCGCTTCAATTTTTTCCTGGAAAAATCAGAGAACCAACATATTAAATTGGTGTGGCCTTATATAAATATATATGCACCTTCTGTCTTGAGAAAAAACAAAATCAGTCTAACTAAAACTGGACATGTGTTCACAGCTTTTTTAGGTTCACCAGTTCTGCATCATTCGCCGAACTGGTGAATGGTCCCCAGCAGCCTGTTCACGTTCACGTGGTGGCCAATTCACCAGGTGGAAGGCTATGTAAGTCAAACCCTATATTAACAAACTTTTATGAGAGATAACAACTCAGGACACGAAAATTGCTTTAATTGTGTAGCAACTGCATCAAGGCTCAGGTAATGCATGCAAAATTTCCATCATTTGTTATGACTTTGATTGTCTTTCTCTGTTTCCAACATAATACTAAAACAATGTAGTTTATTTGGTAATGTCCAAACCATCAGTACATCTCCACACTTGTTTGTTTGTTTAGGATCTCCATTAGTGTGCATTTTACAAATACTCTTCATGGAGTCCGTAGTGAATAATCAGATAAATATTTGCACCATCGCACACTGGGGCATGCCCCTACTCTTTTTCGAAAGGTGTGGTGGGATCTTTAACGCTCTCCCCAAACACGGGTCCTGTCTGAGGGACGTCCCTAACCAAAGATAGATACTCATTTACACCTGAGTGAAGTGAGGAAAGTCGTGTAAAGTGCCTTTCCCAAGGCCACGAGATCGGTGACATGGTGGGGTTCGAACTAGGGACCTCTTGGTTCAGACCCTAAGACGGTACCGCTACTCCACACGACTCCATTTATTAAGTGTCACAATATTTCTAAATCTGTCCATATGACATTTATGTCTATAATGTAGATTTGTGATAATGCACATGTGTTGTCTGCATGTAGAAACTGAATTTTTCTTTTTGTCTTACAGTTATGACACAACAAAATCTCGGGGAGGGCTCCATCCCAGCCATAGTCCTAACCAGCTCTGGTGGCAGTCGGATTGCCATAACAACAGCAAATGGTATGCTCCTTTCTTCACTCTTAGCATATATTATAAAGACATTCATATGAGAGAAGCTATTTCAACTTCAAAGGAATTTGGATTAACAAATAACATCTTTTGTTAACTGATAATATCCTTATAATATGCCCTATAGGAGACATGCAGCACAATGGCAACCGACTGTCATCAGAGGACATCCCCGCACTTTTACATGAACATCTGGAGCACCCGAACCCTGGCCCTACAAGCACCGCTGCAAGATCTACTGACCCACACACTAACACTGCTGACACTTCTGCCCCCCACACTAACACTGCTGCCCCTTCTGCCCCCAACACTAACACTGCTGCCCCTTCTGCCCCCAACACTAACACTGCTGCCCCTTCTGCCCCCAACACTAACACTGCTGCCCCTTCTGCCCCCAACACTAACACTGCTGCCCCTTCTGCCCCCCACACTAACACTGCTGCCACTCCCACTTGTACTGCCCCACCTGCAATATCCATGGCCAACCCCTCTACAACAGACAGGACATTTTTCAGGCCTAACTACCCTCCACCTAACTACCCTCCACCTAACTACCCTCCACCCAGCTTGAACAACATTCCATTTCATATGCCACGTCCATTTCCCCCTCCCCCCCTACTCCACCTGCAACATCCACGATCAACCCCTTTTCCGCGATTCCGGCAGTTTCCACCACCCCCTCATCAACAGGTTGTCCGACACTTCCCACCACCTCCTCACCAACAGATTGTCCGACACTTCCCACCACCCCCTCCCCCTCCTTCATGTTAACACTAGAAACATTCTGCACACTGGCGGACTGCTTTGTGCCCAATGCACGCTCAGGAGATCTGTTAACTTTTGATGACTTGCCACTGTTCCTTGTGTTCTATATCTATACTTTGGTTTAGCCCGTTTTAAAAAGTGTAAAGTGTATTTTTATGAAACATAGGTGTATTCTGTATTATTCTGCACACTGGCGGACTGCTTTGTGCCCAATGCACGCTCAGGAGATCTGTTAACTTTTGATGACTTGCCACTGTTCCTTGTGTTCTATATCTATACTTTGGTTTAGCCCGTTTTAAAAAGTGTAAAGTGTATTTTTATGAAACATACGTGTATTCTGTATTATTCTGCACACTGGCGGACTGCTTTGTGCCCAATGCACGCTCAGGAGATCTGTTAACTTTTGATGACTTGCCACTGTTCCTTGTGTTCTATATCTATAGTATGGTTTAGCCTGTTTTAAAAAGTGTAAAGTGCATTTTTATGAGACATAGGTGTATTCTGTATTTTATTGCATTTTTGTTAAGTCAGTTTGACATGTAAATCTTGGAAGCTGAAACATGAAGGCCTCCTCCAAGTTTTAATTTGGCTGATTATTTCAATTTGTCAGAAGATGTTTCCAGTTTGCGGGAATTGCAGTTTTTATATTTCAATATATCTAAAGAATTCATTTTGATCTTGTATTTACCGGGTAATGTAGATTTTGTAACTTCCAAGTTGTTGCTTGCTAGAAATGATCCATCCCCATACAACAAATCATCTACACAAATGATACTGACATCTACCCAGCCTAAATGTATAATACTGTTATATTCTCGACTGAAATAAATCTATTTTTCGATAAAACTTGTGCCCGTGTCTGGCTGTGTGTTCCTGGTTCGTAATGAAGAACTTTTCCTCAAACAGCTACAATATCTTTGTAGAATGATGTCATGTCACGGTGAAGTGGAATAGAAAAATCGGAACAACAAGAAGATTGATGGTGAGTAAACACCTGCAGTCAGACAGAGCACTGAACCCGGGTCATGATCAGTGTATTCTCTCCCTCTCTCTCTCTCTATATGTTAAGTTAACTTTGCCGTTAAAGATAGATGCAAACTTAAGACTGGCCAAAGACTAGAAAGGTAATATTTCCAAAGCAAATGCATAATGTTTACCATGGTTCAGGTCCAGGTCAAGAGCCAGTGTTTGGAAGAAATAAAGAAAAGGGCATAAACAATAAACATAATTAAGATAGGTCATGAGAGAGACATTCACAACAATGAAACAAGTTAACGTTACATCATTCAAAAGAATTTAGCTTCTTACAAATTCATTTTCTTAGTGTTAATATTTGACCATGATGGTCCAGCTATGCTAGACATATCTCATCACATGTAACCATAACTCCCACTTGTGATAGAACTTTCTTGCTCAAATAAAGAAGTTTTAAAATCTTTTAAACCGCCTTGCTCAAACCGACTCTCTATCGACTTGACGTTTCCAACTGACGTTCCAGTGTGTTGCATATTAAAATACCCTTTCTGACAGGTGAGTAAAAATATCGTACCTTGTTGCCTGATCCTGTAACAAGCCAATATCCCACCCAGAATGTGGCATATGACTGTGGTTGTTACACTTCCCGCAAGATTTACAGATATTTTTACAAATAAAACTTCATGGAACAACACATCGTTCAGACCAAGGACATTATATCCTTGTTGAGACAGAAGTTACAGTCTTTAGATCATATAAATAATGGAGAATTTTGGAGTGACCCATTCCAACAGGGGGAATAGAAATACAATGGTAGTATGTTTGCCTTCACTTTGTTAAATCCTATGTGTATGACTTACATCTATAGCTCAGCAGTTTAAAAGAATATTGTCAGTATTGTATAATTCACATGGATTCATCTTCGCAGCCCAAATGTGTGCACCAAGCACCTACGTCATTACGGCTCCCCTCGGCCTGGATGGATGGACCCGACCACACCGCGCCCCCGTCACGTGACTTGTAGCCAACCAATGCTCTTTTACACACCAGCCACGATTTCAAATGGGGAAGGAAAAGATTCGACCAACGTCCATATGTTGTGGCGGCATGCGACACGAGCAAGGGGTTGAGGGATCAAGTTTACAGTGAACCAGTGAATGATCTCTGACCACCGACTGTTATGGGACGGTAAGTGAAGCTTTATTTTTAATACAGGAGCTCAGAATGATTGTAGGTACGAAATCGAAAATCCTGTTTGAGTTTCAGTTTGCAAAAAATATGTCCACATATTTACACAAGTCCGCGCCGCCATTTTTGTCCTTCGAATTGCCTTAAAAACAAAACGATATATGTGTCGTAACATATATAATAGGGTGTACACCACAGGCAGAAATGCCTTTAAGTTTAACACCGTTGGATTCTCAAGGTAACATTACCAACGGTTACCGTTATATTTTCAAATCAGCTTGATATGTTATCCCTAGTACTAGTACATGGTTCTCAACCTAGCCTCTTTCTGTAGTTTTTCGTGTGAAGGCGAAAGGGTTTGGGTGGGAGGGAACAACTACGTATATGTATGCTTCATACCAAATTGAATTTATAACCTTCGACATTGGTCAGTATTGTATAGACATAGATCTACTAGTAAGTTATTGGTAAAAAAAGTTGATGAGGGGATCTTCTCGCCCTGCCCCAACGATTTCCCGCTTTCACATCTGTTTTCTATCATGCCATCATGGTCGCGAAAACACATGAGAGAAAAGAGAAAGCCAGGGGAGATTCACTAACTGTTTCATAATGGATTCGGGAGCCTCCTACTTTAAATTCAGAATGCCCATGCCATGGTCCAAACTATTCAATGAAGAGTGGCTGCTATGCCTCTGCTACTAGTCAAGAATAGGTTTCCAACAAATACATTCCAGGTTTTTTCTAGAAAAAACTTAGCATAGGGGAGCAGATCGCAAGCACATGGCAAGGGAGCAAACTGACCAAGTTTTTTTTTAATGAAACTTCAAAGTAACACAGTTTGTAATGCTAGAATGCATTGTTGTATTTTTTTAAAATCTTTACTGGGAGAAGATCATTTTGAAAAAGACTAAATGGTGTGTAATAATAAGTACATGTGGCCACTTGGCCCTAGGGCTCTATCTGAAAATTGATATGAGCAGTGCTCTTAGTCTTATTCCGCTGTTTAGAAAAACCCCAGCATAATTTCTACTTTTTAGCTACATGTTTACATGGCTGAATTTGTACACCCCCCAAGGTCATAGACATGCATTACTGAATTTAAGAAGCAGTCTGGATAATTAAGGAAGTTGACACCAGTGATTAAACGGGGCGAGGGGTACAAACCCAGCCACATTTTGGATTGCATTCTTGCCGCAAAATCGCCACCTACATGATCGGCTACATACTTTATCAGCGAGAACTTGAAGCAGAACTCCAGTCAGGAGCTCTGAAGAAGGTGTCTGATAGACACCAAAACATAAGCACTCAGGAGTCAGGTGTCACCGTGAGAAATTTTGGATGTGTGAAAGAAAACTTCTATACACCATATAAACAATGCCCGCACGACAACGCGACAATCATGTTCCTTTATTCCTTTCTTGAAAGATATTGGAAACTAAACGTCACAGAAATTGATATTTAAACAATGCTGTCCATATCTATCTGAACATGTCACATTTTTTTGCCGAATTATGTAGATACCTATTAAAGAACTGAGATCATCAAGGATACGTTTTGCTGTCATGTGTAATTTGACCTTTGCACCGAAAAGCTGCCTGTTGGCTCTGGTGTGTTCAACTGCACTTAAAGTGATTAATTAAGGGCTAATGACCCGCCCCGAGGTGAATATGGTGTGATAAAGCCTTGTCAGTTGCTATAACCACCGAATGAAGCCACCACGTGAGCGCAGCGAACGTGGTGGCTTTATGAGGCGGTTATAGCAACTGACAAGGCTTTATCACACCATATTCACCGAGAAAGGGCGGGCCATTAACGCTATTATCATATAGCTTACACGATAGCCTATCCAAACTGATGCAGTACGTGACACAATGTACAATTTACCCGTTGCACATGCTGAATAGAACATAGTTCCATCTGGAGTCACTTGAGGTCACTGGGTAGAGTTCACGTTCTATGTCTTCTATCTGGGTCACAGGCAGGGAAGAGGTGTTCTTATGGGAGTCACCCGAGGTCATTGGAACACAACTCAAGTTATTTTTGGATTTTTTAGAACTAGAGCCGTGTTCTATTGGGTCACCTGAGGTCATATGCGGGTGATTATTGGGTTTGTTTAATGTATGGATTGGGATGAATAAATACCCAATTTTGACTCTATTTGTGACGTTACGGCGTCATAAGGAATGTGGAATGGAGCCTTCTGATTGGTCAACGTCACCCGGCTATATGATAATATGGCTTAGATGATCTCAACTCTAGGCGGCTATTTCACAATCAGGTGTACCCATTTTTTTTCAGACATGTTATCAGTTGATAGCAAAAGCTACACAACATATAAATGTTTTAGACTTTTATTTTCCAAAACCTGGTACAACAATGAACGTGTCACAAAAAGAATTTTGTAAATCGGTCAATGTTTGGTGAATATATCGACCAAAATATGACCTAAAAATGCGTGATTTCTAGTGTTATCGGGGACCATTTCAGTTTCAGTTTACCTTTCATCAAACAAAGAATTTGTAGTCGGAAGTTAGAAACCACTTGCTTCCAAAGTGCAACCATGTGTCTACTAGTGATTTTATGCTTTTTTTTCAAGCATAGGTCAATTTTTTGTTACATAGGGGCTATTTTCCCATTTTACATGTTATCAGTTTCAAATGTTATTTCAACTAGATGTTTGTCAGTGTGTAGCAGCTAATTGTTTGCTAATATTGGTGTAGTCTTTGCTTGTAAAGATAAGGTATTATGTGTGTTAAAGTAAAAAAAGTAGAATAAGATCAGTACCACACTCTGAAGACAAATGATTTACAAGCAAAGTCCAGGGTGCCATTTTCCAAAAAAAATCTGTAGCATCCGTACCCCCCCTAAATTTCAATACTAAGTAAATCCCACAAGCTTATGATTGTGACAGTTTAGAGGTCTCATACCAGAACACCCTTTAAACTATTGCTGTCATAAAAACCATGCCTAGTATAGTCCATGAACATCAAATTATTGTTTCAGTCCTTTTCTTTATTAATGAAACATGTTAGTTTTTGCTGTTTTATACTTCTTATATATGGTGCACCCAAAATATTTTTTGTGCACCCATTTTTTTTAGGTTGGGTGCACCAGTGCACCAAATCCCAGTATGTAGCCAGTGTAGTTAGTCTGGTAGGGATTACCATTAAGCCATGACTGCAGTTTGAATGAAAACCAAATTAAAACCATGGTCCTGCAACTTGCTTAAAATACACAGGTGAACATGTTTGTTTTGGGGACCACCCCCACCCCCAGCTTTTTCTGCATCTCCTGCACTCCAAAAATGGATATCAGGAGCTTGGTCTCCCCCGCCATCCAGGATACGCATGTTGATTCCATCGCAAAATGTAACAGAAAAACAGTAGAAACGAACTCAAAACAGCGCAATAACGGAAAGTTTGTGAAGTTGGTGGGAATTTGTACACCGTAACACGGCTTTTGCACACGGCTTCAAAACGCTAAATATAAGTCTGGTCTGAACGGGGTTTTAAAAACCGATTGAAACCGCTAAATAATTAGCAGGGGAAAACCCAAGTAAAACCCCTAGCATTTCCAGCAGACTCACAAAACTGGTTTTTGAAAAAACCATTGAAACCCCTAGATATAAGTCTGGTCTGAACGGGGTCCTTATGAATATCTGTGATAAAGGCCTTGACTGGTATAGAAATGTAGCACAATAAAACCCCAAATGTCCTGGCTGTATCCGTCCTGTCCATACACCCACTTTTTAGTTTTTAGCCAAATGATGCGGAAAATATCTGTCCAGTTGCATAAAGTATATGAAACATGCATACTAAAGACTTAAAAAAATATGTCTGGTGTACATGTAGGTGCCCTGGTAATTTTCAGTGTTACCTGCAACCTGCACCAGTGTACATACATGTGTACCGTAAGGGATTTCAAGCCCCGTATGCTACTAAGCCTGTGCTAGTCATATGCCTTGTTTAGTAAAGCATCTATCAGGTCCAATTTTTTAATCAACATTTTCTACTTTAATCAGCCTCCCTCTATTGGGAATTGGCAAAAGGTCAGTGAAGGAGTATGGAGCACCATCCAGTCTGAGCTACTCCCAACATGACAAGGAAGATAGTGGAGAATTACCTCTACACAACCAGTGTCCATCTTTGTTGGGTGAGTACTTAAATTGTCTTTGCAGGAAAGTAGCAATTGCAGGGCTCGAAATTCATTTTTGGGAATAGGTGCACCCAACCTAAAAAATTGGGTGCAGCACAAAAAAATGTTTTAGCCTTAGGTGCACCATATAAGTTAAGATAAGTAGAATGTGAGCAAAAACTATAACTGTTTTATTTCAAGAAAAGTACTATAACAATGATTGACTTTGTATTATTTTTCTGACACTTAGAAATTAGATGTTAAGAATATGCTGTAACTACATGTACTACACATTTAACATCTTTACATATGTTAAACCTATATTTGGGTGCATTGGGTGCACTGGTGCACCCACAGAAAAAAATTGGCTGCACAGCTCCAAGTTTGGGTGCACTAAAGTGCACATGCACCCATTATTTCGAGCCCTGATAATTCACAAAAACATGAACCTGTGATGCAAGGTATTTTATGCATAGCTTGCCAGCCCTTTTCCTGCCATTTTAACCCACACCCACAGATGGCCTGCTATGCTTTCACCCATGTATCTAAATTCTAAACACAAACCGTTTAAAAACTAATGTTGAAAGGTTTTGAAGCAGAAGTCGAAATAACTTTTTTTAGTTTTCTGCAATGTAGTTTGGAAAAGCTTTCTGCAAATACAGGGCTCGAAATACCCATGTGCAGAGTGCAAAATGCCCATGATTTTCAAGATTTGCATTAAAAAATATTTTGAATGTGCAATTTTGTGCCTAGCGTAAAATTCAAAGGGGGCAAGGAAGCAAATACAAAAGCAGTATATTTTACTTTACATATCGTGCATGTTGATCAGGGGGAACAAATATGCAAAATAATAAAAAGAATTTATTGCTCCCAGACTGTCAGTAAACTTTTGAACAATTTGTGACGTGGAGAGTGGGAGATTTTGCACATGCATGAAAAAAGTATTTCGAGTCCTGAAATACATACGTACATGTAAGTCTCCTCACTACAATCTTTTAATTTAAAAATAAAAATAATGCCTGTATTAACATCATATAGCTTTGATGTAATCCTGTATCATCTCTCTCTCTTATTTCAATTTCAGTCTTCACAAATCCTTGTCCACTGCCGCAGCAATGTTATCATTCCCTGATACATGTACCTCCACAAAAAGGCTTGGTAGTACACATACTTGTTCAACTTGACCATGTACATGTCCAGAGGTTAAAATCCAAATTTGGACCTAATCTTATTTTGATTAAAATATTTTGATTTAATCCATTATAAATTGTACCAATTAATTGATAAAATTTCCTTCTTGCTAAGTTATTTCCTTACTTTTTTTTCAATTTAGGTGGTTTGGAAAGAAATGGAGTACAATGTATGTGTCATTTTTTTTAATAAGTTCTTGACTCTCAGGGTTTTTTTTTTTTTTGACTTGAACCTAAACATTTGTACAAGTCCCGAACCAGTCCAGCAAACTGGTACACAGTACTATTGGTATCCAATAGACACTTGCATTAGACTTCTGTAGAACATATTGATGTAAAACTAGTCAACAAGTCTTACTCAATCAATGCAAGAAGTCAATGTTCTTGATGCAGCATAGGAAAAAACAGACCCATTCTAGTCAAAGTCTGCTCGACTCAAGGTCTTCTTTCTTATTTTCGTAGTATAACAAAATGTTGTTTACCCCCCCACCCCCACCCCAAAATACATATACATATTAAAGAATCATTTTCTTCTGTTGGATTGAGATCACGTTGAAATACCCAAAGACTCGTAGAAAATAAAAACTGCCACAAAATCAATAAGTTACTGTAGGACTCTACGAGTCTTGTTGGGTGTTTTTACTTTGTTTAGAATTAAGACTTTTAGAAATTTATCTGGTTCTTAATCTGTAACAGTATGGCTACTGATTTTTTTTCCCAGCTCTCGTCTGTTATAGTCTATGTTGTGGTTTAGGGTTCAAAACTATTTTATATCCTATATGGGTCACAATCTGCTGTGCTATTGATCTTCAAATGCTGTATGCATTCAAACTTGGTCTTATGTCTGGCTTTTCCCCTCTAATGTTGGGAAAGGCAAAAGGCTCTGATAGTTAAATTTTTCAAGGTCAGCTTTCCTAGGTCAATATGCATGGTCTGAATGAGAGAAAAATATTGCCCTTTTGAGTGTATGGGTTTATGCATCTATGCACACTGTACTTCATTTTAAGTTAGGCTGTTTTATTGTTTAATGCATGCTAGCTAAATGTCCAAGTTTATGTACCTCTCTACACTAAAGTTTATTTGTTGCATGCCTTAGTGCCATCCTCTTGTACGGGGATTAGTTGGTTCGACCACGTCTCCACCAACGCCCTGAGAGAGCAGACCAACCAACCCCCACCTGTCCAGCAAGATCCGTTCAGCCCGTCTCCGTCTCTTCGGCCACATTGCCAGGGCGGAACCACCTCTTGAGCTAGGCTCCCTCGTAAGAGAACCGCCTCCTTCGACCTGGTCCCGCCCTAGAGGGAGACATGGACGAACCTGCTGTCTGCCGACCTACAGGCTGCAGGACTGGACATCACCTCCGCCTGGGTGGCAGCCAGAGACCGGAAGACCTGGAGCATGCGGAGCTGAGTGAGTGAGACTTGTTTTGCTGTTTGGTGCATGCCTAAGTGATTTTAAGCTGAGATGTGTCACTGTTTTAAGCATGCCTATTATAAAGTGATTTTAAGTTAGAATGTTGAACTGGTTTAAGCATGCCTAAGTGATTTTAAGGTAGAATACTTTACTGTTTTAAGCATGCTTGAATGATTTTAAGTTAAAATGTTTTACTGTTTTAAGCATGCCTAAGTGATTTTAAGTTAAAATGTTTTACTGTTTTAAGCATGCTTACATGATTTTAAGCAAAGATGTTTTACTGTTTTAAGCATGCCTAAGTGATTTTAACTTAAAATGTTTACTGTTGTAAGCCTGCTTAAATGATTTTAAGCTATGTTTTGCTGCTTTAAGCATGCCTAAGTGATTTTAAGTGTTGATTTGGTGTTTTAAGCATGCTTAAATGATTTTAAGCTAAGATGTTTTACTGATTTTAAGTTAGAATGTTTTGGTGTTTTAAGCATGCTTAAATGATTTTAAGCTAAGATGTTTTACTGTTTTAAGCATGCCTAAGTGATTTTAAGTTAAAATGTTTTACTGTTTTAAGCATGCCAGAATGATTTTAAGTTAAAATGTTTTACTGTTTAAGCATGCTTAAATGATTTTAAGCTAAGATGTTTTACTGTTTTAAGCATGCCTAAGTGATTTTAAAATGTTTTGGTGTTTGAGATGGTTTATTTTAAGGACACACTTAGGTGCACTGGACATCAGGTAATAATTCTCTACTTAATCTCTAATGAGACAGTTTTGGGAGAGTAATTTTAAGTAGGATACCCAGACATGTTTAAGCATCTGATTTCTGATGCTTGAGACTTTTTTTTAAAGAATAACCAAGGCCTCACTGACTTTACAGGAAATGGTATCCATGGCATGTTTCACCTTTTCAGTCAGTTTCAAAGAAAAAAAATGTTAGTGAATGACTTAATCATGCAAGGTAGCTGGAAACTGAGCAGATCTATGACAAAAACAAAGGAACTTGACATAGATTGCCTCTTGTACGCATTTCATGTTTGTTGAAATAGGTATGTCAAGCTGTGTGTTTGTGTGATTTTGAAGATGAGCATGCGCATGTCTGAAAATCCAGCACATTGGTTATAGCTTGGGAAGGAGAGGACACCTTCAGGACATTGGTTATAATAAGTCCAAGTTCAATAGTTTGCAAAGTCCCTAGTCCGTACATCACGCAGATGGGGGAGGCGACTACGGTCTTGAAAGAGTCTAGCATGGAGCTGTCCACTATGTATGCAGAGAGGTTGTTCCACTCAAGGATGGTTCTGGTGTAGTATGCATATTTTGCAGTGTCACGGGACGGTCAGAGTGTCTTGTATTTATGGAAATGGTTGAAACAGGCACGAGTACATGCTAGGATAAAATAGAGTGGGTGGAAGGCTACAAGACTGTTAGTTATTTTTTGTACATCATGATCAGCCGTGAATCCCAACAGCGTAATAGGAGTAGTGGCCATCTCAGGTCTTGTAGGAGGGCTGTAACGCTGACACCAGGTTGTCTGTCATGAAGCAGGCAGCTCATCTGTTAACCATTTCAAGACTTACTGTGTCTTTCGTCTGATACTGGTTTCAGATGACTGCCCCATACTCTATGGTAGAGCGGACCAGACTGAAGTTTGCCATCTCTTGCACTTTCCGGGGACAGTAACGTAGGTTACAACTAAGGAAATGGAGTTTGTGGTCGGCTCGTTTCGCTGCAGTGTTAATGTGTGCTGACCATTTCAGATTGTGGCTGATGGTATTGCTGGATACTTGGCTTGTTCTGTCTGGTGGAAGAACTCTCAACACATTTCGTACATTCCAATGAGGGGGTTCTTGTTGAGGTTGAGGAAGCCATCCGCACCTTAAAAGCAGGGAAATCACCAGGAGTCAACAACATCCCTGGAGAGCTTATCAAGCATGGTGGACCGGCTATGGTAAAGGTGCTAACTGCACTTTGCCAAAAGATCTCGGGGAAGAAAAAATGGCTAAAGAAATGGACACAATCTTTGATCATTCCACCGCCCAAGAAAGGCAACCCACGACTCTGTCAGTACTATCGTACCATTAGCTTAATCAGCCACCCGAGTAAGGTAATGCTACGCGTCATCCTGAACAGACCCAAGCCCACCCAAAGTAGAGGAGATAATCCACTCGTTCTCATTCAAATGTACAAAATGCTGTCGCCACTCTTTACGACTAGGTATGAGCCAATCACGGACATCATCGTTGCTTTCTTCACTTTTCCACTACACTTACTAATAGTTACTATGTTTCACGAAAAATGTACCACAAAACTAGGTTTAAATTAATGACTTGGAAGACATTATGACCGTGGTTTGGACTTTTCCCCCAAGAAATAGAAACTTTAAAAAGCAACCCAAAACATAGCAATTTGATTACGGCAGTAGTTTTCTGTCTGGTGAAGTCAGATGGTCAGGACCTCTGACTGATCAAGTCAGATCGCTCCTGTCACTATTCTTGTATGTAATGTGAGGTGTTTCATACCTGTCGCCAAGTTCTGTAACATCCGTTACCGCTCAAGTAAGACGGTCGTGCAGTTTAGATAGTCACATATAAGACAAGAAATTGCCATTTTGATGACTTTTAGCACGTTTTCTAGGTTTTTTAGAAGAAAAGAGTGTGTGCTGTCATTTGTAGCCAGCTGAACAAATTGTTTTACAGTAATGAATGTAACATCCGTTACCGTTATTTTTACTTTCAATTTTAGTTTCTTCACCTGGTATATAAAAAGTCGCCCAGTTTTAAAATGTCCGTACATATGCCCCCTTGTTCTCAAAGGATGAAGCTAAAAACTGCAGATCTTCTTGGAGAAATAAACAAAAATGTCCGTTTTGTACATCCGTTACCGGTAACAGAAGTCACACCTGTAGCGCAAAAGACGTAACAAGAGATTGACTTTCCCTTCCCTATGCACCATAAACATAGTAGTTCGAAATAAAGTAGAAACATATGGATCCGAAGAAAAATAACCCTTTGTGGCGTCAACAAACTCAAATATTCTACTCTTCTTTGCTTCCAAAGATGTTTTTTTCTACTTCTGTACACTATTCTTAGCTATCTTTGTGTTCGATACGTGTATATTTCCAAGTAAATAATGGGTTGACAAAAGTACTTTCATAGATACTGACGCCTAAATAATGGCTTTTGAGGTGATGTCATGAATGCAAGCTTTACCGTACACCCAATTCATGCTGATGTTCCAGTGTCTTTGCTGCACTATAAATGCATTGTTTACATGTCTTATCTAAGTGCATAAATTTTCTGTAACTTCCCATGACAATTAAGCTGTCCTTTTTTTGGTAATCATTAATTGAGGTGCTTTCCTAAAAAATAAGGTAGGTTTGCCTGAAAAAACATCATTGATTTTTCGACCCCAAAAATCACCATTTTGTACATTTCAACGAGAACGAGCCACTCACTGAAGAACAGGTAGGCTTCAGAGCCGGAAGGAGGGGAGCAAATCTTCAACATGGGGATGCTGGTGGAGTAAGTAGAGGAAGTCTGCAGCAAACAACAATCTCTCCTGTCAAATGTCAAGCAGCGGAAGCTGACGTGGTTCGGGCACATTTGCCGTCTCAACACGCTTGCAAAGACCATTCTGCAAGGTACCGTAGCCGGAGGAAGGAAACGGGAAAGACCTGGCTAGACAACGTCAAGAAGTGGACTGACCTGAGCACAGCACAACTGATCAGGGAGGCTGAGGACAGAACAGGATGGGCCTGGATCACTGCTAGGTGTCGTGATGCCCCCACGACCTCTGAGGTCACGGGACGAGAGTGAGTGAGTGAGTGAGTGGTTCATGTTCTGCATAATGGACATTTTGTCGCACTTCTTTGTGTTGAACTTCATACCTTGCTGGTGAGTATTTGCTGTGCACATGGACCTGTCTTCACGATGGTCAGATTTGGGCCCAAAAGTCCCACTCCGCTACTATGGAGATCGAATCCCCCGAACCTGCGAATCTTGTTCGATATGACGTCATTCGAATAGAGCGGGCGTTCGATCTGGGGTTACCCGCGGTCATTTACAGTAAAGTCGCTACAACCGGCTACTTCAAGCCCTTTTTTACTTGGGAACCACGGAACAGGAAAAATCCACCTTTCCACAAATATGAACCGTTTTCAAAACATTACATCTATGCCGTGATTTTATTGTGGATATGTAACATGTAACGAAGCTACTGCCGTCATCGTGGGTGACCTTGAAGGTCAGAATTCTTGTTGACGCTGTTTTAAAATCCTGGTCCCCATATCCAAGTGGCACAGCATGCGTGCAAACATGGTATTTTAACCGCTCCCAAAAATCGCTCAAATTACCTCATTGAGGGCTTGGGAGAACGATTTCCGCAGATTTCTGTCTTAGGAATTTTTTTAATATGGCCGCGATTATGAATTATCGGTATTTAAAGTTAAAACACTGCGTTTTTAGCTCTTCTTTTGACTGTAAGTCGAGTTTTAGTTAAAAAATAAAAAATCCTAAGACAGAAAGTTTAAATTTACTGTAATATTTTTAAAAATCCCAAAATCTAACCTTATTTCTAATTTTCGGGGCCTCTTAAAATCAGTTGTTTGGTTCTCGTGAACCCTTTTTGAAATCCGAAATTGATCTCATTTGGAAGCAAATGTACACAAAGTGGAGCAAAGGCAGTGCAAGAATAACATTTGAGGTAAACATAATCACTTATTACATTTTATTTTGACGAGTATTTAGTCTCCAAGTACTTTTGTTTATTTTCAAATTTTACCCGTTGCCCCCGGGCCGGCCCGGGACTCCCGCGCGGCCACGTTCGAACACGTTCTGTAACCCGATACCGCCCTAGTAATGCGACTTTTAGCCTAGCAACCGACCGCCGTGCTTGGAGGAACGATCTAATCCATTGGTGGATGGGACCTCCAATGCCATACAGTGCAAGTTTAAAGAGGAATCTCATGTGGCATTGTGTCAAAGGTACAACCGAAATCCAGGATCCCCACGTCTACCTGCGTCTTCTTGTCTAAGCTGACACAAAATCGTAGATGGTGAGAAGCAGCTGAGTTTCACTAGAAAGGGCTATGTGGAAACCATGTTGGAAAACTGAGAAGACTGTTTTTCTCAAGGTGGCACAGAATGTGTTTGCATAAGACATGATCCATTAGTTTGGAAATAACACAAGTCAACAAAACGAGCGTGTAATTCCCCGGGTCATGTACTCCACCCTTCTTGAAGACATGGCCTTGGTCCAATCTTTGGGGACGTGCCCATGTTGCAGTGACTGGTTGAAAAGTGCTGCAAGTACGGGGAATAAGTCACTGGCCAGTTCCTTCCGGGCATCATTCGGGATCCCATCCGGTCCAGATGCCTTGTTGGATTTACATCTTTCAGGACTTTTAGCACAACAGCAGAATGCAGATTTGAGATGAGAGGGTGGGGAGAACCATCCAGGAAACTAAGCTGGAGTCCTTAGAAGTGAAGACAGACTTGAATTCTTGTAGCAAGATGTAAGCTTTGTCCTTGTCCCCTGAGAACAGATTTCCATTGCTTGAGGGGCCTGCCTTTTGAACTTCCAAAGGTGGCACCCAGCACGCTTGAGGTCTCGTGCAGTCTCCTTTTTCACGTTCAAAGACTTTTTTGCTTTCTTGTACAATTTCAATTCAATTTTTCAATTTTATTCAATCCAACAAAATTGTACAAAAGTTGGGAATGCTGTATTATGTATTCAATTTTTACAATTGTTGTCTTGCCCTTCAGATCAATGTTCATCCAGGGAAGGATGTAAACTTGGACCTAGGATAGTTGGAAGGAGAAGACGGCTTCAGGACTGATTCCAGCCTAGGATAGTAGGATGGGAGAGAACTTGGCATGGGATGGAAAGGACAACTTTTGGATTTTCAAGCCTGGGAAAGAAAGGACAAGTTTAGTACGTCCCTTGGAACCAAAACAGATATATGGCTGATCAATGGCTTTTGTTTTTATTTCAGAACAGACGAGTGTATGGTTTTGTATGACTATGATAAGATGGTTTCTGAGAGGACCTTGCTTTCTTAATAATATAGTACTTACAGAATATCACTCTTCAGTGTTGCACAGGAAAGCAGAGAACTGAGTGTGTTGGCAACACTGACTTTCACTCAAGTTTCAGCACCATTTGGTTAATAAAATACAATATGTTTTTTTGATTGGGTTAATAACTTTGACCCATTTTAATTCAGTGCAGTTCCTTATATACAGCACTTGTAAGACAAAATTCGACAATGACGTGGAAAATGTTAATACATGTACATGTTTTAGGCTACTGAAATCCTACTGAATAGGGAAAAGATTATTATGGTAGGTTCATAGCTATGTAAATGAGAATATGACAGTGAAATTAATTTCCATTTGCATTTTTTCAGATACAGCTGGCATGGCCAAGTGAAGATCTGAGGGATATGCAATGAATGCAGTGGTCTGCAGTAGTCTGCCTACCTGGAACGTGGGTATCCCGCAAATGAGAGGTCGTACAAAATTGAGGTCAGTACAGAGCAGTTCTAACAGCAGTTACTGCCAAACATTTAAAATGTATATTGGCTACTCATGAAATGATGGTCTAAAGAGTTGAAGGTCCTCTGTAAGTATCAGACCTGGTGCACGGTAATCACCTGCATGAATTTAATGTTCAAAGATAGTTGAGAACTAACTATTTATATACATGCCATTCTGTTTCCTTATAGGTTGAAACTGCTGGAGAACAGGCCGGGGTCTTCCACAGAAGAGAAAAATGACAGAATAGTGACAAAAGAGAATAGTGACAAGTCAACCTTCATCTCCAGAACACAGTCTTAGTAGACATGCTTAAAAACCTAAAAAATTGATAATGTATATCTTCATATGTCGCCTAACAGTGACAAATTACATGTACTGGTTGGTTTACTCTTACTTGAAGTCAGATACATTCATATATATGGTGAGTAGGTTCTCTAATTGAGGTTACATAATACAACCCAAAACTAGGGTGTCTAATATGGCACAAGTTACCATTGTGACTGACGTCTGGCCCAGGTCATTGACTTTATTTCTTCAGAACAGGAGAAATTGAGCAAAACAAGTTTTCCTTCTGCATAGGTAAGCATAAAGCAACTTCAAATACATTCATCTCTTTTCTCAATACATTCATCTCTTTTCCTGATAGCTTTTATAGCTGATTTGTTTTCATAGCTTGGAATCCATCCTTACGATTGCCCGTACCAGCAGTCACCACCTATTGGTAGCAATGGCTCATAGAACCAGCAATAGCGCTTCTCAATGGACCTATCACATTATTACGTCACATTTTGTTTACCTGTTCTAAAGAACATTCTAGAACGGTCAGTTAAAGAATGAAGATCATTTCAAAGTTTTCAAAGTCAGGTATGTTTGATTTTTGCTGCGTCTAGTTTTGTTGACACAGCATTACATGCCGCATGGGTGATTTAGTTGTGACAGTAGACGAGACTAGTACTGTATTAAGGCCTTATATTAAGCCTTACGCTACACAAACACACACTGCACTACGTACCCCTGTACATCGATTGACCGGCATTCATTGCGGTAAACAAACTGTGACGTAATAATGTGATAGGTCCATTATTAGCCCTAAGTCACAGTTGTCATTGTGTATTTTTCAACCAAAAGATGGCCTATTGAATTACATTTTTTAGTGTTTTCATATAAAACTAGAGTTCCACGATCTCATACCTTCGCCAAATGATGTTACCCTTAGGCCTAGACGAATGTTGACGATTCGCATTAATTATGCAAATTAGGCATTCATTTGCATAAACACTACCTGCCAATGTTCTTCTTCACAATTACACATGCCACACGTTTGAATAATCTATCAAGGAAGGTAGCAGATTTATAGCATTTCCTCGTTAATTATGCTAATTAGCTGCTGATTCGCATAACTATCATTTTCATATGTCAAGCATTCTTTAAGGTACCCACATACCAAAAATCATGATGATCCGTCAATCGGTTCTTGAGTTATCCTCCTTCAAATATTTTTCAACGAATGCTTCTGCAGTTCCAGAACAAGCCGCTAGGGGGTCCAAACCCATGTCACTTCTTCCCCAGCCAAAGAGCTACTTACCATCCAAATTCAGTGACCCTACCATGTCCAGATCACGAGATATCAAAACCGGACGTTCAGCTGCAGTACCATAACAAGTTGCCAGGAGGTCCAAAATCTAATCAGTTCCAGGTCTCATCAAAACCTACCCACCTACCAAATATAAAGACAATCCATCTTAGCCTTCTTGAGTTATCGTGTTGACACACACACACACACACAGACAGACACACGAACACCAACGAAAACATAACCTTCTTGGCGAAGGTAACAATTGAGGAAAAAAAATTGCCAGCTCATGATAGCAAGAAAGGTGCACAAGTTAAGGAACAGCAAAGTACAAATCTGGCATTGATTTGTGAAAATGGTAAGGCCTAGGAAAATTAATACTGTTATATGTATGGTCCTGAAAATATCACGGACTGTTTGTTCTAGCCTGTATAATAACACAAGCGCGACTGTTTAGCGGGCAAGGGTAGAAATTACTAGAAGACAATGTATAGGGATTCATGGACAGTTCTTTTTTTACATTTACCCAAAGTGATCCAAAATGTACAGTTAATGTAACACTGATTTGTCCAGTACAGACTCACCCGGAGTCTTTTGTTTGTACTCGAACCAAAATGTCAGGTCTAGTTCTGATTCCGTCTAGTATACCAGTACGCACAAAGGAAAATTTTATGCCTCTTGGCTAGGGTCTTTTTTTTTTTGCTTGATTCGGTCAGAATACCAGAAACACATGTTTCCTAGGTCTAGAACTGTAACACAAAATAAACTTAACTAATGGAAAGACAGCTAGGGTTGTTTGAAGTGTTGAATGTAGTGCTGTAGAAAAATTGCAATTCAAGACATACTATTTGGGAACTGAACAACTTTGTGTTAGTAGGTATGGATGGCTCATTCTTACTAAAATGTACAGAATTCCGGTAGAAGTAAACTGATAAGTTAAACATGTATTTAAACTTAAGCTAATCGATATATCTTACTAAAACAAGCTACTATGTCATGTGAGATACCTGACTTGGAGTTGTTGTTGTTGTAATTTCTTACTTAATTTAAATGCCACCTAGGCGAGCTAGGAGTATTTCCATAGTACATTGATTCCCAAACACAACTTGTTAAATACTGGCTTAGATTTTGGAAAATAACCTTTCATCAATCAGTACGGAAGCCTTTATTGTTACAGTATTGTAACAAGACCAAATTAAAATATCAGTTTGCAATAGAGAGAGGTCATATACCAGCTAATCAGAGACAATGTCCCTCATGTATTTATAGGTAGATAGAAAGGACAAGTCATTAGAAAATGATACTCATAGACATCATGTGCTCTTTATGTTCATGTCCCTATAGTAGTAGTACATGTAGTTTCTTAGTTTCATACATTGTTCCACCATGTACAACTGTGCAGCAATAAAGTTCATTCATGATGACAATGATTCTGTCTATCGCAGTATCTTTTCTTTTTTATTATTGGTAGTGCATTTGTACTAGTATACTTGTAGGAAAAGTTGTTGAATCAAACCTGTTTTATTGAGCTGTAATATATTTTAGCCTGACTGAACCTCGCTTTTCGTCCGCTTTCTTATTAGTGAGTATATTTTATCTATTCCTAGAAGTGGTCATGTTTGATTAGAAAAATGGGCTAAATGACACCAAAAGAAATCCCAAAAATCAATGACAAGTCATCCAACGTATGTGAAGAATAAAACAAATGTAAATAACTTGGTTTGTTTTTGGTATTTCTGGCAACAATAGTAAGAAGCAAGTTTCCTTTTAGATAAGGAATAAAGATAACGAAAAATACCAACAAAGGCGCTTCCGCCCAGGGAAGGTAGGGGGCGCAATTGAGTGGATACAACTACTGAGTGTGGGAGGCGTGGCATACCAGTGGAGGCGTGGTTTATTTGCATATCTGCGTCGGGTACTAATTAGGTCTGCAGACGACATCGAAAATATTCGACGTCGAAAATCGTCGATGCACGCAACGAAACGAAACGTCGAAACTGCCGATACAAACATCGACGAAACATACATCGAAACACACATCGAAAACATCGAAACACACATCGAAAACATCGAAAATGTCCGTCGTTGTACGTCAGGATTTTTCGACGTCGAAAACATCGAAAAGTAGGTTCGATAGATAACAAATTTTTCGGAACAAAAATCGGTAAGGAAAGGCCGTAAAGTTCAATAACTCNGCTCTTTATGTTCATGTCCCTATAGTAGTAGTACATGTAGTTCTTAGTTTCATACATTGTTCCAACCATGTACAACTGTGCAGCAATAAAGTTCATTCATGATGACAATGATTCTGTCTATCGCAGTATCTTTTCTTTTTTATTATTGGTAGTGCATTTGTACTAGTATACTTGTAGGAAAAGCTGTTGAATCAAACCTGTTTTATTGAGCTGTAATATATTTTAGCCTGACTGAACCTCGCTTTTCGTCCGCTTTCTTATTAGTGAGTATATTTTATCTATTCCTAGAAGTGGTCATGTTTGATTAGAAAAATCGGCTAAATGACACCAAAAGAAATCCCAAAAATCAATGACAAGTCATCCAACGTATGTGAAGAATAAAACAAATGTAAATAACTTGGTTTGTTTTTGGTATTTCTGGCAACAATAGTAAGAAGCAAGTTTCCTTTTAGATAAGGAATAAAGATAACGAAAAATACCAACAAAGGCGCTTCCGCCCAGGGAAGGTAGGGGGCGCAATTGAGTGGATACAACTACTGAGTGTGGGAGGCGTGGCATACCAGTGGAGGCGTGGTTTATTTGCATATCTGCGTCGGGTACTAATTAGGTCTGCAGACGACATCGAAAATATTCGACGTCGAAAATCGTCGATGCACGCAACGAAACGAAACGTCGAAACTGCCGATACAAACATCGACGAAACATACATCGAAACACACATCGAAAACATCGAAACACACATCGAAAACATCGAAAATGTCCGTCGTTGTACGTCGGGATTTTTCGACGTCGAAAACATCGAAAAGTAGGTTCGATAAATAACAAATTTTTCGGAACAAAAATCGGTAAGGAAAGGCCGTAAAGTTCAATAACTCCGAAATTCGGACGGGAACTTCGACACGACCCCGACACGAACCACAGTTCACAGAACGACACATCAAAATCATCAGGTTCAAAGGTGGAAGAGAAAGACGAGACTGACAGTTCCACAGAAACCTCGAGTTCAGATTCAGGGAGAAACGTAACAACAGGTGGAAAAACAATAACAGCTAAGACGCCTAAGGGGAAAAAGAAGGGCTCCAAATTATGGAGGCCGCGAAAGGGGAAGAAAATCCGACAATCCATCGAGAAAATGGACACCATTGTGGAAGAGGACGGTGTTGTAGAATCAAGGGCCAGCTTGAGAAGCAGAACCCATTCCAGAAAATTCTTTTTCTACAAGGTAACACCGCCACCCGAGAGTCAGCACGACGCCAGGCTGGAACACAAGTTAAGGGCAGCCGTAGTTGTCGGTAGGAACTCCGATGTGTTTGTGCGGGACGATGTCACAGAAAACGCAGAAGAAGAGAAACGTCAAAGTATTAAGGCAGATGAAAAGGAAGACGCTGGTAAAAGAACTACCACGGTGATCTTCCCTCCACTGGTGGGAGAAATGGACGAACCCCTGTCTTTCCAAGGCAAGGCCTTCTGGAGTCCGAACGATTCACTGGTGAGAAAGAAGCCCGCAGGACCGAGCGCATTCTTGCCTTTTCAAGCACATAAACAGACAACTAGCATCAGGCCCTCGAGAAGATCAAAATTGAAACCTGTAATATCAGAAGCAAGCTTATAAATTTGTGATAAATGTGAAACAATAGATACTTAATGACATATTCATATTCATTTTGCAATATCACCACTGTAAATAATAATTACAATGTACTGAAATGTTGCACTATTATTATTTATTTCACAGTCGTCTATTTTTGTAACAGCTTTACACTTAGACCCCAACAGTTTTGATGGCAATCTATAATGATTAAACAATTCCTTCAAAAGTACATTTCGACTAAGTGATTTTTGACTCTGACGTTCCCAGAATTAATGAGAAAAGCAAAGTATTGACTCCATTCGATATTCTAGGTACCGTCCACAACAAAACCTTTCTTTCCCTTCGGGGTGAATATTGTGTGAATGGGCTACTACTTTTCTGAAAACAGACAACATTATAAAGGTAACAGGCTAAGGATGTGATAAACCTATTGTTGATTATAAAGGGATTCATTAACTAGCGTATTTACACATTCCTTACTTTGATCAGATAACGGGATTCTATTGATGTACACTTTTGTTTAGGATCGTCCTGATCGTGAGATCGAGATAATTAAAAATAGTGCACCTGGCGACAGTATAATCTACTTAAGAGACAGTAGTAACCATTTCCCCCGTAGATTCGCCAAACGATGTTTTAATAGTTATCAGAGAGCGAGGGGCACCGACACCAAATTTGAAAGGATAACATCATCCTACCGGTGCGTTCTGCAGCAGATTCTACGGGGCCAAATGGTAACTCAGGTGGCCAATTTGATCGTCCCCTGCCCTCGAAGGAATCTACTTCGAGATTAAAACATTTTGTTATTAATACACGTTAATGTACTTTCCTATTGACATCTGCTATTTTGTGTTCTCGTAGTGCATTTTGTCGCTTTGTGAAAAATGATAATGATAATCACTGGGTAATTTGACGGCCAGGTTAATAGCAGGTGTTCCTCGCGACCAATAATAATATAGCCAGGAAGGTTGGGTCTTAGCGTGTATACGCGAGGCTTTGCGTGTATACGTTTCCATGTAAACAAACTTATCTGTTTGGATCTTAGCAAATAAGGTGTTTGACAACGCCGACAGTGAAGTCCCTTTGACAACACTACGGCACGGACCAGATATAATTGCAGGGTCAAGATACTAGTCAATCTTATCAATAATCTCTGCGCCCTTTTTCTCTAAACATGCAATTCTGTTAAATATGTTGAGATTATATATCAATTGCTAATTGTCCACAACAATTTTTACTCTTTCCTGACTTGACTGATCCTTAGACTGGAAATACAGTATCTAATCCGTTTATAATAGGGTTCTTAGCGAACGTAGGCCACCCCATAACAAGAATTATTAACTTGCCTACAGTGTTCTGCCTCTTATTCCAGCCCGTTTTCTAACACCTCACTTAGTCATTCCGGCCGTCTGTCAACCCCTGTTATCCCAGCCTTACGAACGGGATTGGTCAATACAACGTAACTGAGCTAATGGAGCCAGCGTGTCTAAGTCCTGCCCAATAAGATACACTACCTTAGACTTTAATCCGAGTAACATAAACATTTAACAAATCCGTCTTGAAGCTATGTTGCATTTTCTCTTTATTGTTCGGGATAACTATGCACAGAAATAACAGGAAAATGTACTATCAACATTGTACTTAGGTTACATTACTTGTACTTTAATATGACGTGTAGTCGTGAAAGGTACTGTACAAATTGTACTTGTGACTCTTGATGTTAAGTTTTGTCACCTCACGTTACTGTAGCCTACCTACATAGTTTCCCGAAATACCTGTGGTATATCCATTACAAATAGCTGATGTCGTTGTGAGGCCGTGTGTATCTATTTACACAGGTGACCTCCCGCCATAGGTATGATAGGTAAGGGATAGAAAAGTGTTTTCTGAATAATTATACGGCGTGACTTGCATGGACAAGATATAGTTTGAAACTGGGTTCATTTCTCTGGATTTGAGTGGATTTAACACATATTCCGAGACCGACTACTATCCAAATGTAGGGCAATTCAAATACAGCCATTGATGCTCTTTGCTAACAGACTCTCGACCTTATTTTTGCGCTGTATAAGCTGAAGTCACTACGTTAAAAAAGCTTGACCCCGTTCGGCCCAGCGGGTAAGAATGACCTGAGTTCTGTCAGTGCCTCGGTGTGCCCCAGATCACCATAATAACCCTCCGTGAAAAGTGTTTGTACAAGGTCACACGCCTGGCTACGAAAGACGGCTCATTTTGTGCCCCTCTACTCAACCGTCACCCAGTTGTCATGTGGTGGAACGCGATGTGATCATGAGTGCGGGCAGGGCAAACACATAAAAGTCTGCCTGGCAGCTATGGTCGGTGGTGTATTGTGTTTGTACTGAGCACTAGGTCTGCATTATGCTAGCTTAGAGCCTGCATCGCAAATTCGTCCACACAGATCTGAAGTAAAGCTGTTTCATCACAACCTTGTTCACGCTTCACCAAAGCTGCTGTCGAAAACAACGTAAAGAGGTGTACGGTGTAAGAAAGGCGGTAAATATTGTCATTATGTCACGAGTCAAGTCCGTTTTCAAAAGCCTCCTTAACAACGCCCCGCAACAATTTGTTGTTATTGGCCGTGAACGAACACACACTCGTAACAGGTCGGAACAGCTACAGTAGAGTAGACAGAGATGGATGTAAAAACAACAACCTGCTGAATGGGAGTGTTAAGTGGTGTTTTCTTCGTGAAACGGGAAATCCACTATTGTGATTAAGTCAAAGACACATTTCTCCTGATAAATACGGGTAGATCTATACATGTACCCTCTGCCAGGCTTCAGAAGCAGCTGGAAAGAGTAGACGTGACAAGAGAAGGAAAAGAGTACAGCGGCAAACTGTTCTCCTTTAGCGGACCAACTCAACTCCCCTGGCATGTTATCTGTCTGTATTCCTGTCTATATTTGGCCCATTTCTACTAGTCTTTCCAGTCGCTTCTGAAGACTATACAATATAACATATTAGTCTTGGATGTCAGCTGGCCTAGACCGCCCGTGTCTAGCGGACTATTGAACAATAAGAAGGTCAAGGCTGACCTTCAGGCTGACCTTCAGGCAAGTATTTGTGTCAACGATATTAACTAATTGATAATGCACCGAAGGTACATTAAAACTATTCCTTAAATGTATTTATCAAGCGCAACATATCATTCTCACCAGAAAATTCTAATATTGCATGTGGACGTGTTTAACTTTCTTATCTGTTCCCAAATTGTTGTGCACACGTTCTTATAGCAGGGATGAAAGGTGACTTCATCTTGTGTTTATTATGCCGATTGGAATAATATTAATCTTCACAAAGGGCAGGTGGCCATGGGCGTGTGTGTTGTTTACTGGGTTAGCCACGCGCGCTGTACTTTGACTACGCTGTAATTTACAATTTTTTATAACCAAAGTACAGCGTTGTGGACAACCAACACCAGAACGTGGTAGCCTCCTGTGCAGACTTTTGTAGCGGCCTTCATTTGTTTCTACAAGGAGCTAGTTTCAATCTGAGAGCGCCGGTAGTATAGTCTCTAGTATGATCTTCGGGGAGACTGTGTCGTAAAAGCCAACGCTTCCCGCTATGAAGCCTGCACAGGAGGCTATCGTGAGGCTCACAAACCCCAGAACGTGCAGCATCCATCACATGTCCCGTGTGTGTTCGGCTAATCCCGTGTTCGTGCCGCGTTTTTGGGACTCTAGTTACTGATAGGAAGGGTCTTGTCAGCGCCGCATTGTTTATCCCATGATTTAAGTGGTTTGCACGTTTCGCCTCAGACAAATGACTGAAACATGCTTATACAGGCACAAGTGCGGAGGGATTGAACGTTAGACCCTGGGAGTTGATAAAATTCCGAGGGATTAGTGTGAAGTGCTTGGCCCAAGTCAAGTGTGTGATAACACCCACGGTGTTTCCTTAGATATGTAATGTTTTCCACACATGATAGACGGTTGTATTGTTGGTAGGATTAACGTACAGAAAAATATCATTAATGTTGACGTTTGTTACAAACTTTTGCCAGCAGTTTGCACGTTTGTTTCACTGGAATGATAACGGTAAGTAACAACCTAACTTGTGAGTGGCAGTTTTACAACCAGTAATTAATCAAAAATACATTTAGATTAAACCACCGTAGCCTGTTCAATCGCCAAATGGACTATTTAGTACTTGCTTCCATCATTGTGAAATTGTATCGTGAAATTTTCGCAAGTATTCTAATCACTTTGTAAACTTTCTCTGTGCTTCCAGTGTCACTTCTGCCGCCTGGCGGCTAAAATGAAAACTCCAGTAGTTTGCAAAGAATTTTGATACCCCAAAGCATGGAGGTAAATACCTCCATGCCCAAAGCAACATTCAAATATGTGTAAATGGAATGCATACACTTTGATATGAGATTGGGAGTCTGTCATGAATAGTCCGTATGCTTAAAATGAATAGTCATTCTTTGAGTCTGTTAACTAGTCTGTTGACCTGCGTTGACAGAATTCGTCTGTACACCTGGGTTATGTTTCTTTGAAACTTTTCTTTGAAACTTTATTCACACACCTTCTTGCAGACAATAAGTCTGAATTGACAGGTATTTACAATGAAATAGATTAAAAACGCTAAGGAGTTAAAATACATGTAGACAATCAAATTCGGTTTAAAATCAATAAATATGATAAAACTTGTATAGTCTATTATATATAATACAATTCATGAGGTCACGTCGGTATTTACAGATTGTCAGTTGAAGTGTTTGTTCAGCAAGTTTGTCATGTAAGGTATCGCAGAGTTTTTGTAACTAGAAGCTTAATCGCTAGGCGGCGCTCCGACGCAGCAACGCCGTACGCCGTGGTTTGATACATTTCTGAGCTATGCTGGCAGTGAGAAATACTAATCCCCAAGCAGATCCTACGGTGGTTTAAAGACAATAGGCCAGAGGAGTGACCATTTGCCACGTCATTGGCCAGAGGAGTGACCACCTTGGCTAATGGTCACTCCTCTGGATACTGTCTTGCCACCGTAGGATCTGCATGGAGATTAAGAAATACAGGCTCAAATCAGAAATCGCTGGATAATAACACGACACAGTGTATATTTAAAACACAAACTTTAACTATATAAACCAAAAATTTGAATAGGCAATTTGATACACACACAATAAATATGAAATGATAATATCTAATCTGTCTAATCACACAATTTTACAACGTTATCTATCATTTTCAAACCTTATGTTTCATGGTCATGACGCTTATGATATTCACTACAAAGAATGCAACTAGAAAGAAAAGTAACACACGAGTACAAAATGTTCAGACTTTTAAGAAGTCATCAAGGACTGTCATATACCGGTAACCGTATTAGGTTCATCGTCAAAATTATTTTTTTTCGCAAATGATGGCTTCAAAGTCTTAAAACGTAACACCTAATCCATATCTTCTATACGATCAAGAGGTCTCACTGCTTATTGTTTTAAAAACCCTCCTGTTACCTAAACACCTGTCTCTTAATGGTGTTCTAGCTACTTGTCAGTAAAGCTCATTTACAAACAGTTCATATCAAAACACAGCTTCCATGTATTTGCAGCTTTAAATAGATGTTTGCGCTTCAGATCTCCTTGATTGTCCTGCTGCCTCCTGTGCGCAGGCGAGAAAACGCCCTTTTGGTCAGCAGAGTCTTCAGGTCCGCGCTGTGTTTCCGTGAGGGAGACGGGGGTTTGACTTTCTGTACGCGGTTGGGCTGTACCGAGTGGCGACCCAAGAGCGGACGGATCGGCTCCACTTCCACGGCGGGCGGATCGTACTCGATCGAGCCTGACACCGTCACGGCACCGCTGGGCACGAAGGACGCGTCACTGTCCGCGTCCGACCTGTCTGCTAGGAGGACGGACTCTACCGCCTCCGAGTAACGGAACCGTTTTCTCACCAGCCGAGGCGACAGCGACTGGGGTGACGGCGGGAGTTTGTTCGGGGGCTCCGTCTTTCCCCGTCTGCCGGCCGGAGTGCTTCTCCCCTCGCTCCTGCTCCGTGAGATGTAGACCCGCGCACGTGAGTCCGACGTGCCGATCGTGTGCGCCCTTGGACGCCTCTCCAAGACGGGCGAGGTCGGACAACTCTGAACACCAGCGACGAAAGATTTCTGTCCGTTCTTTACGTTCAGCGCCTCAAACAGCGGTATTATTTCTACACTACTTTCGGAATCGGAGGAGTCGTAGTACCGTTCTTGATGACTCAGGTGCTCCTGACTCCTGGTGATCTTGATGTCAGGTGGCGGTAACGTGGTCCTGTCTTTCCTAACTGTGCGCAAATCGCCGAAAGAGCCAGACAGCTGCCCCTTCCTTGGACATGAAGGATCCGTGGCTGCCCCAGTACGACTGTTTGTGGCACCGACTCTATCTAGAGCCGTAAGACTTTTACATTTCGCCCTCTGTTCTTCTGTGTCGTTGCCGTGAGGACTGGCGTCGCCTGTCGGTACCTGGAGTAGTCCTCTTTGGGCACTGATCTCCGCCATCCGCTGGCTGTACCGCACCATGGACCGCTCCAGGTCCTTCCTCGTCACGGATAGCCGCCGGAGGTTTCTCCTTCTTTCCTTGTCCATCACTCTCACCTGCTTCCCGAGCTCGTCTATCTCCCTCCTCACACTGTTCTCCGCCGCCGTCTTAGTCTCGCTGTGTCTCGCGATACCATCGCAGTAGATCAGCTTTTGTACTTTACGACTGGCCATAACGTAGGTCTGTATGTGCTGTATTTCACACCTGCCGTCGGATCATCAGTTGTAGATACACCTGTTCTTCTGCACCCCTGCTGAGATAAACGTTCCACTTTCTTTATAGGGGTGATTAAGTAATCTGGAAAGACGAGTTTTCTCGTGACGGCGACTTCAGCCCTCTGATGACGCACTTCCGGCGGATCAGAGCTTACCTGTGGTTGGGAGCGGCAGTAGCAACAAGGAAGAAACACAGTGTGTGACGTGGGAAAACAAAATTGATGCCGTACTTCTAATTCTCTTACTTGTTAACATATCCGAAACATGCTTAACGTTGGTAAACAAAGTTTCCAGAGAACCCCCACCTTTTCACTTGAAAAGCCTTGTCCGGATGAGTACCTGTCAACTGATTATAGGGTCATCTGATGGCCACACAGATTGTCCTTCCAACCATTTCTACACCTTAGCGCACGAACTCTACAGGGCAGGGTTAGGGTATACTTTTCCGGTCCAACCCACTCACCTTAGTCATGTCAGTAAGAAAGCGAGCTCGAAAGTAAATACTTAGAACTCGTGATTACAATGCAGAGGAAGCGACGTGTGTTGACTACCACACAACAGTTCCACGTCCCATGTTTGTACAGGGTCTAATGACAGAGCAAAGATACAGCCACAAATCCTGGTTTATCCACGCGCCAGCGCTAGCGCCTGTTTGACAAACTCTTCAGAGTACAAATGAGGATGGAAGAATAGCTATCATCAGGCACGTTTGGACTGGTAGTAAACTCGCGCTCGGCTGTCGTAATTGTACTCAAATGTTATAAATGACTGACTGATAATCTTTGATGTGTTGTATACGACTTCTATCACCACATTACAGATATAAATCAAGAACATTTAATAAAGATCAGTGTTTAGCAAAATCACTACTGTAATTTGTCACGTTTTGGCAAACCAATCCTCAGCACTAACCGGGTGTTTTCCTCTTGATGGTCAGGTTTGATGGGGGCACTCTTCTAACATTCCTGTGTACTGGCGTTACATGGAATTTGAGTGTAACGTGTTTGTTTGCCATCATGCTAATCTTTCCTCGCCGGTAACAAAGTCTCAATGTTTACCGGCGACTTATATGCCACTGTTGATATCCCTTTCAATAGATTGATGTCACACCAGTAATTCTCTTCCCTCGTGCAAACGCACCTTGTTACCAACCCATCTCTTTCCCCACTAATTCGCCCGAGGCTTTCTTCTGTCTGTAAATAGAACAGAATGGCGTGCACTACTCGTTCCACTCGTCGGCAGAACGTACTGCGCCTACCGAGAAACCCGGAAAGAAAGAAAGGATGTTTCACGGTTTTCGTTGCATGTTTGGTCAACGTTTCATTTGAATTTTGCAACACATCGTTTGAAAACTATAGACAGGATGTCATCCTTAAATATGAAAAAACGTCATTAAACAGAGACGTTCTGCTGAAGTGCTATACACAATACATAACGGGTTTTTCGGCAGTACATTCTGCCGACGTGCTTCCATTCACCAGCGTACATTCCTGGCTCTCTGGCGGGCACTATGTACCGAGCGGCTCTTATCACGGTACAACCCTGTCAACAGATCACCTACTCAATACCGTACTAATAAGTACCACTGATCAGACCCGTCAACAGGTCTATACACGATCATTGTGACTGTTAGATTATGTTGTCATATGTCACATCTTGATTGCAATGAAAAGAGAAGCCTGTCTCATACATGTCTGTACAGTTGATTATGGTGCCATGACATTCGAGTATGGATGTGTAAGAGTTAGCAGGTAAACAAGGAATATGCGAATACCACGCGTATACAGTATACGCAGAGTAATATTAAAGCAGACGCGTTCTTACTAGTCTAAATCTCACAATATAACCTGCACTCTTTCGTGCGTAAGCGCGCTTATATCTTTCGCGGAAATGTAGAAAATTTATCAGCACAGGAAATTTATCTCTGTTTGCTCTGTGGCGCATCCCATGACATTCCTGCCTCACAGGTAACACCAAAGTACAGATATCCGCTGGTTATGACCTGATGCAAGGGTGACTCCGATTGTATGGAACAAATTAAACTCAACCCTTATCCAAATATATACCAATGGAAGAGAATGAATTTTGCTATTTGCAAACCTCTTCAAGTTGCATTTGAAACACGATGGGTCAATCGACGTAACAATACGGCCTTATATGGATTTGGTACAGCTGTATATTTTCCAAAACCCAACTATGAATCAAGGGAGTATGCCGCATGTTTTATTCTAATGAACGAATAAATGAGCAATATTGGGATATCGTAAGCTGATATATATGATATTCTGTGATTAAGTCGCTGAATATCTGTCAGCTCATATGGCTATTAACTTTGTCATACCTGGGTCGTGATAAGTTCGCTATACGGGTGTTCCAGACTGGAGGTTATCACACGGGCTTCTACTGTTATCACACGGCTTTCCATAGAATGGTAAGTATAACATCTAAGTTACCCGTCGATGGAAGATACATTGGTAGCCCACTAGACACAAGATGGAACCGGGCATATCCTACAGAGCACACTTACCGTGTTGTTTTGGTACCGAGTCAGACGATCAAACATACCGTGTGAACCACCGCAAGGCCCGGTCTCCACTCACACAATCTTCCCACACTGACGGCTATATTAGACATGTCACCGTTACCTGGGTAACGCCGCCCGTGGTGTTTGAACTAATAGGTCGGTTGTTTAAACATCAGGACGGCATTAGTCACCCAAATGGACGCCTCGCCCGTCCCTGCCGCATGTGTGCCGCAATAACAGGACCTTCGCGTGGAGAGGCGGATCGATACTTCTGAGAGCTCCATTGTCGCAGGTAATAAATAAAGGATTAAGGATCGCTCCTTAATCAGCTGGTCGGAGATTAAAAGGCGTCCTGAAGGCGGGATAGCCAACAAGTGTATCACGGTCTGTGTTTCATCGTTGACAGACAGACAAAGGCACACAGAAATAAGGAGTAAAGGCGTAGTGGTATCGCTGACGTAACCTTGACTGAAGCTATAAATCAAGATGAAAGAAAATAACATCACGTACCGGAGATACAACGTCACGTGCGTACACATGGTAGAATGAGGCCACTCCCAATCAAGCCAACTTTTCAACGCTGAAACAAAATACGAGTACTAGTAATAGCTCCCGAGGACTAGTATTTTGCAGACGATGAATCCAATAGTAAACAGCATAAAGTACATGACGGCTATAAAGTCGAAACAGGCTCAGCGTGCGTGCAAAATGGTAAACAGATCGACAAAGGACACACAGTCTCCATTATGGTTAACAGTTAAGTTGGCAAATGCCAGTTATTGTAATATTGGTTTCAGATATTGGTTTCTTCAAGGACATTATACATAATTATAATGTCCTTGGTTTCTTGGAAAATAAAACGAAATAGAAGAGTGAATTCGAAGTTCACTGTTAGTACATTGCTGTTATCAGTAATGATGCACTGTCGTTTTGGTGTTTTGATTAGCCTCCTTTGCAGGCGTTCCGAGATCGGTCATTTTTTCTGATTCGCGCGCGCAATAGAAGCCCAGGGATGGTATACTAGTAGTACGGTTGGCTGTCGGAGCTTCTATTGCGTGCAATCTACGTTTGATAAGACCCCCCCCCAACACAAAAACCGCACTCCATCCCGGAACGCCTGCAAAGGAGGCTAACTGTTTCGATGCTGTGTAGGACGCAACTTAATCGCTAGGAGGCACCATTTGGGTTCCATTCTATGGATAACATTTAAGTTGCATTCATCAATGCAAAGATATTGAATATCTTTGCATTGATGAATGTAACTTGCCATCCAGCACGGTGCGGTGTTCCTGTATGTTGACGATCGCGTGAAATTTGCAGTTACAGTTAATTTGCTTTATGTCAATATAATCAGTTTTCTTGTGGTATGTATTGAGTATGTAAGTACGAAATGTGCCCAGGGACACCTGAAAACAGGACGTAGTCCTGAGTGTGATCTACTGGTAAAATAAATACATGAAATGAAATTCACGAATGAAAGCGAGAGAATTTGTGTGGGTCGAAAGTCAAGTCTACAGACTCTCGTGCAGTTTTTTCAGCTTTCGTGTTCGTGAGCGTATGAGAGGCGCGCCCTGATTGGCCACAGCTTATGCAAATTAGACCCCCAGACTACAATCTGTAAGTATACTTTTGATGATCACCCTTCATTGAATCGCGACGGGGGCCGACATCGTCCACCAGATACCTTTGAGCAAGTCTTGACGTCACACTTCAAAGAAGTCATGTGACAAGCTTCACTGGGTCAGTCTACTGAGGAAGACCAGAGTGACTGGTCGAAAGCTCTGGGTGAGAGAATTTTTTGTGTTGGACCAAAAGTTTTAACTTTAAACAGGTAACTACCAAACACAGATGAACTTTCATGATACATGTAGTAGAAGTTTATGTATACATGCAACAGTTGTATGTATATGTATTTGTATATTTATATGCATATGATTGTAATCTTGTGACCTGTGCTTAGCCCAGTGGGACAAAATGTACAATAAAGGTCTTCATTCATTCATTTTATAAAGAAAATTTGAACTATAATTTCCAATGCAAGAAGTTTGACTTTCCCACCTTTTAAACAGTACAAGCCCACCAAAGCAGTGTAGGTCACAGAAGTGATGGACTGGTCATTCCTTAAGACTGGAATTGTACAGTCAAAAATTTGGTCCAATTTCTTGTGTTGGAAATTACGTGTATGGTTTAAACTTGGTTCATAAATCCCAATGTGGCTTATGATCAAGTACATGTATGCAGGAAAAAAAATGACAAAGGAACAAGTATACATTTTTAAAAACTGGAATGTTATTAACTTAGTGTTTATCAAATTGTTCTATAAAGGCAAAGAAATCAAATCAAATGCAAATAAGCTTTCTATATTGATTACATATACAGTTAATCTTTTTTCACATTAACAGCAGAATATTTTAATAAAAGGTGATGTGATGTAAAACATCACCAATAACCTTACTTCATCTCATACATGAAAATCTTAAATTCTACATGTTTCCACATCATGATGATCAACTGTAATCATTGTCAAAGTTAAAGGAACCATGGCCAATTGATGCGATAGGTTGGTAATACACTGTTTTGGGCATATTGGAATACAATTCACAACCCGTCCCAACCCAACATAAGTCAGATGAGCTAAATAGTCAAGGTAAGGAAAGTCCTTTGAAGTGCAATTCCTCAGGACAAAATATTGAGCAAGGAACCTAAAGGAACCTCTCCATGTTGACATTTGACCATCAACATCAATTGCACTGACTATCAATCAAAGATGCTTATAGTTTCTCTGAGTGTTTTTAAGGGTTTGTGTTGTGTTTCTGACAAATGTCTGTAAATACTACAGTTCAGTAAATGCTACAGCTACGTCCAATCCATGGTTGCACCAAAGTCAAGTACATTGTACATGTACATGTACTTTATTTCTTGTGATCCTATGTTATAACAGAAACTGGAGAATTTCAATGACATGCTACTTGCTAGATAGTAAAAATGTTGTCATTTTGCTTTGCAAAAATGTTGTCTTATTGCTTTGTCCAGCAGCCTCAGGCCTTGGTCTTGTCACAGTTGATCATGACCTTGATGCCTTCTCCCTTTTTGGAGGCTTCGAAGGCCTCCAGCGTCTGCTCCAGGCTGAACCTGTGGGTGACCATAGGCTTCATGTTCACCTGGCCTGACGCCACCATGGACAGGGCAGTGGGGTAGCTGGATTAAGAAAGACAATAACATTAGAGAAGAGATGCATGATAGATGACAATGTGAAAACAGAATGCATGCAGATACATGATGTCAGACAGGTATCTGCATCCATAACTGAGCATATTATGGGAAAAGTATGAACTTATGCATCCATGTGAAAGAAGAAACTATTAGACAATTAGATTCACACTTGTAGATAGTGTACATCATGTGGAAATATCCAATTGAATTACATCATAAAAAAGGTTACTACTAATCACATATGATTGTATGATGTAACTTACTCCCATATTACACCATGTTTATGTTTCATACCATGACTACACATTACACATTATTGGCAACCCCATACTACATCCTACAATGTACCACCTAGGGCATACTAGGCCATAACCCTGTCAATCAACGAAACCAAATCTCTGCATGTACACGCATTTCCAATCCTTGCTAGTCACTACCTAGGACAAGATACATACAAATTCCCCATAAACAAGTGCTGCCCCAAAACAATGCAACAGTCATTAAGAGAAATGATGCCACAGTTTCTCCCTCACCAGTTGGCATAGCGGAATATGCCCCTGATGTCCACCTCTCTGACTGCTGCGTTCACAATGGGGATGTTGATGGTAGGGGGACCCAGGCCCACAAGCACTAGGACTCCTCCTGACTTTGTGGCCTGGGGAAGACACGGTCATAAGTCTACATACATTAGTGTCACCTGTCTCTTAACTTCACTATTGGTGACAACAATTTTACCAAGTATGGCATCTCCTGCTATATAATAATAACCAGTTAACAATGCCAAATCAAGAATTTCAGTGGATGTTTGGTCAGCATGGCATCAGAATTTTGCCTGTTGCAGACAATATCTTTTCCACAACATTTGAAAACTATAGACAGGATGTCATCCTTAAATCATAGTAACATTTGCCATTGAATAAACAAAATTCAATAGATCTCCCTTAGATTACGATAACATTTGCCAATGAAGAAGTATGAATATGTATCTCTGCCAACTCACAAATATGCCAGTCTGCACACTGGGTTCTGCCCCAGAGCACTCCACTGTGACGTCAGGGTTACAGCCCAGCGCACGCACAACCTGGTCTGCAACCTCACGCCCGTCACGTGTCGTCACATGCACAGGAAAGTCTGCTCCCATCTGCTTGGCTACCTCTAGTCTCTTGGTATCAATATCTATAAAAGACAAATGGTTTCAAAATTTAGCAAAGAACCTGGAGTTTAAGAGTTGTACACTTTATCTATTGAAATTTATCACAAATTTGTGTAAGGATTGACATAAACAGGTGACTATCACCATTTCAAGATGTCAACCAAGAGACCAGATGGTAAGGTTTCAACCACTCACACCAGGAAGAACCCCTGCTCTTTTCCATAAGGGTGGTGGGATCTTCCTTGTGCTTGAGGCTTGTTTGTACATTGTTTGTTAGTCTACCTGGTGATATTTTATTTAGAAAATGATAAAAACTATGTGTAAAAAGGAGAGGTATTGTCTTTACTTAAATTTGGAATTTAAGGGCCAGAAAACTCAGCATTGACCTCAGAGAGTAAATCCTAACATTAAACACATGCAGCAGCTGTAGCTGTAAACCAGTAATGCTACCGAGGGCCAAGAACTGTACTTTAAACTGGAGTTCCAGTTGTTAAGTTTGAATCAAGATCACGTGGATGGGAAAACATGGTCACAAGCCTTTACCAGACTCCAACAGCTTGCTGGATTAATAGAAGTCGGCCAAATAAACTGAATAATACAGTATAGATCTTGAATTATTTCCTGGAAAGTCCTGGAAAACGAGATTAAAAGCCATGCATTTCTCGATTAAAATGCAAAAGCTGTGCACTTTCTTGTTTCTTGTGTGGTTACATTTCAGATAGTAACATGTGATTGCAGCTACATGTAATTGCATGCAACTTTTACAGTGCTTTTGCTCAAGTTTTAACCACCTGTTACAGGGCTTTTAAAATGCTGAACTTTTACATGTCCATTATTAAAAAAATGTGTTGAAATCAGGTAGTTTCATGTAACTTTACCTGTTATGGCCACCTGAGCTGCACCCATGGCTTTTGCCACCAGTAAACACACCAATCCTATAGGTCCTGTAGATAAACACAAATTCATTATAAGTTAATAAGATACACCACCTCTACATAAGCACCACCTGGCCGTTAATATACAGTCAAACCTGTACATGTGACTTCTACATAAGGGCCACCTGGCCAATGTGACTTTTAGAGCATTTTTTCCATTGACAGTTAAGCATGCCTATAGTAACCATCTGTCCACACAGACCAAATTTAATTGGTCCCCTGAGTGGTCTTCTTGGGCAGTTTTGTCTGAATAAACATTATGCAGTTACCATCATACTTGTGTCTTTATGAAAACAACAAAAATTGTTAGTGTGACAGATTTTACATCCTTGCAAGACACAACAGTTCTTCAGAGCTATTGCACTATGTTTAACTTTTGAGAGAATGCTTATTGCACTTACAAAAAAAACAACCCTATTGAATGAGCTATAGGAGACCATAAACCATATAATAGAAACAGATTACGTACCTGCCCCACAGATGAGCACCCTGCTGCCAATAGTGACCCCTGCCCTCCTGCAGGCGTGCACACCCACAGACAGAGGCTCCAGCAGAGCACCCTCCTCAAAACTCACATGGTCAGGGAGCCTGGAAACAGCACAGCACTATGTACTACAAAAGTATGCACATTTCCTTCCTGGTAACTGAAGTAGCCATTTTGCGTTAGGCAGCAGGGAGAACACTAAAATCATTTTTTTCACTGTCTGTACAAGAACAGAAAATACTTCTCTACAAACATTGCACAGATGTGTTGGCTGATGCAAAATCTAAAACATTAGATTCTTACTGTCATGCTAGAAATCCAAAAATGAGCAATAAAGCTTACGACTTTTAACACTAAAAGTTTTAAGTCAACACCTTTAAAGTTTTAACACTGTGCCTCTACTGTCAAACAACTATGTACACACTACGCACCAAAAAACCTTCATTCACACAGAGAACAAAGACTTACTTGAAGCAGAAGTCTGCAGGATGTACATAGTACCTAGCCAGGGAACCATCGACGGGTGGCGTGGCACAGAACTTCATCTCCAGACACAGGTTATACCTGCCTCCCTTACAGTAGTCACAGTACCTGCAGGGCACACCTGGCTCGATCGCTACACGATCACCTGGGCAGAAAAAATAGGATTGGGGCTTATACTTAACAAAATTATCAGGGTGCGAAATGCCACATGCATATGTAGGTTAGTGCAGGTAGAATTGGAGCTGCTGTGCAGGTATTTCCAATGTTAGCTGCACCTAACCTGCACTGGTCCATGTTCAGGGTTTACATACAAATGTACTAGGTGTATGTGGATTTTTATTTGCTGCATTCACTTTTACTACAATACTACTAAAGGAAGAAATACTGGCAATATTATGACTAATGGTTTCTGAACAGTTTTTAGTATGATCCTTACATTCCAAATTTTGAGTGGTGCAGGTACAATTTGTCTGGTGCAGGTAACTTTCAATGTCACCTTCAAAAGGACATATTACAGGCATTGTGACACTTACCGACTTTCAGATGAGTGACTCCCTCCCCGACCTCTGACACTGTGCCGCTGGCTTCATGGCCAAGGATCATGGGAGCTCTGACCACAAAGTCTCCGATGGCACCGTGTACCCAGTAGTGGACGTCCGAACCACAGATGCCCACAGAGTGCATCGCAATCTGAACCTCTATCAAGTAGATAAAGTTTGAACAACAAAGAGTATATAGTATTACATGTATTCTGATTTCTTCAAATCAACAATTGCAAACAACCAGCTACTGGGGGTCTTCCATGTGCAGTTCTATATCTGTATCTGTATAGCCAGTGGATTCCTGGCATCCAGGAATCCACCGACCCTTCACAGACCAACGCCCAAGTCTACGCAGACATGCACGGATATACAACTAATGGAGGCACCATTCCTGTCCACATATTACCCACGACTCAGAAGCCGGACCTAGTCATTCACCTGCCAGAACAAAACATCATACATCTGTACGAACTGACAGTCTCATTCGAACAAAACATCAAGCGAAGCCACGATCGTAAGACGGACAAATATGCGGCCCTTGTGGCAGACTTGGAAACTGCAGGAATAACCACCACCCTGAACTGCTTTGAAGTCGGTTCCAGAGGTCTGATTACCCCAGAAAACAAGTGTAGACTCAAGAACATTTTCAAGACTGTAAAGGCCAAACTACCCAAAAACTTTTTCAATGACATTAGCCGTACCGCACTGACAGCATCATATGCAATTTGGATCTCTAGACACGAACCGTGTTGGGATGTAGATGTTCTGTGATTATAGTTTTACCTTGTACACGCCGTGCAATAACAGTAATTCATGTCGGGCAATAGCCGCTGACCTATACAGTGCAATAAGCCAAACAACACAGATCGTGCAATATACTCTTTGTAATGCTATTGTTTTATTGAAATAATTACTACAGTAATACAGACACTTTTTTAAAAAATAATGTTCAATTGATATATAGTTAATCCCAGATTTTAAACCTCTTGTTACTAAGTTTGGTCAATTTAAATGTCATCTGTGTTTGTCATAGTCGCTGTCATTGTTAATGTTGTCCTGCATGCTCGGTCGTTACTGGCTGGCATGACCTGGAGTTCTTGTTTATTTCTTGTTCATTGAATAAAGAATGATTTACACCCCTTCGGTGTAACACACCAGCTTGCAGATGATAAACTTAATGATAATTTAACGCTAGGTTCAGTTTATAATTACGAGTAAGTTCCATATTTCTTACCATTTTTTCCAGGCTTGGGGATAGGTCTTTCTTCCTGTGAGGAAAAGATAAACCATTGTCACTTGCATCAGTGGATTCAGATATCAAAGTTACACTGACATGTGACAACCCTGCACAGACTTGCTAGCAGGCATCATTTGTTTCTAAGAGTGGCAAGGAGGGTGATATTTCTGGGGATACTGATATGTCTGTAGCTCTGTGGATACCGCTATTCCCCAGATCAAGCCCCCCCCCCTCCCAAAAGAAACGCTGCCTTCTACTAGTTCTAGTCTTCTAGCTGTGCACAGGAAGCTATGACAACCGATGCATTTGTACATAGGACAATATCTAAAATGCCTTAACACTGAAAAATCTACCATTGATAGTGAAAGCTCAATTTAATCCCATACTACATAGTCTTTGTAAGGTACATTAGTCTCATAAGTATGTTTGTTATATAGCAATAGATGCTATACTTCACATAGCTTGTACAATTGTTGCCCAACAGGTTTATAAAGATCTGAGACAACTCAGAATGAAGGTCAATACTTTTCTTCTAACATTACTTATGCCATGAACTATGTAATATTACACTTAATAGTGTTATAATATACCAATTACTATAATTACTATATTATTATAATACTACTGGTATTGACTTTGATTGTTAAGAAAATGCTATGTTAGACAAGGATCTATGGAGAGAAATCTGTACTTGTTTGGTCCCGGCTGGACAGGCCGGCAATAGATAGATAGATTACTATAAACAAGCTATAAAGTTTGCCCATGTAAACAGAGAGACCTTGGACTTTGTACCCCAGCTGACATACACGACCCTGGGCCCTGATAAAGTACTAGTGGCCTCAACTTACTGACATGGGTTGTCACACTTTCAAAGTTGTTGACAAGGATGTTTTCACCATTATATTGATTGGTTCCTTGATTTGTGGAGTTTTTTTTTCTTGATTGACAATATTGACATTCAACGATGATGAAAATAGTACTCAGATTCAGCAAGGTTTAATTCAGGTAGAGAGTGTTTTCTGAATAGAAAACAGATGATATCCGCCCATTGCTAACAACAACGCTAACACCATAACGTATACATTTTTATCATGCTAAGGTATGAGCGGCAAAACCATCTCCTTCTAACTCTATGGCAAAACAAACTTTCATGACAAAAAGTGACACGCCCCCCACCCCCACCATTCCCACGGATAAAGAAATTATTGCCCAAAGTACAAACTGTGCGTCTGTCAACTCACCAATTTCAGGTTACCCTTCTCTAGCAGTACTGCTGAGAGGTTTGTGTCACTCATGATAGCACAGAATGAAAAGTTTTCTTGACTAAAACGACGATTTAGGCCTAGGCGGATACGAGTTGCCAGCTGTGGGTTCAAAGGTCAATTTGCACACGGGACGGTGCACGCGGCACCAATGTTTGCACACGGGCCCTGTAGTGGAGATATCATTGGTCAACATTGGGGTGATATCTATAGAAAATATGAGGAGAAAAGCCTTAATATAACAAGAGGATAATTTCCAAAATATTTTGAAAAGACGAATCAGTATGTTAGAAGATCGATTTTCTGCTGTGTGATATTCATCTCATCCATTCATTTACTTACTTATCACACAGCACGTATGTTTCTTGAAACGTAACAAGCAATTGCAAAGTTTTTTTTTTCAATAGAAAAATTGAGGAATTGACTCATCTCGAGATGAACACTATAATGGCAATTTACTCAGGGTTTCGAGCTGCAAATGATCTAACGTTAAATGTTTTATAAACTTAAAGTGTTAATCTTGTGTTAAGTTTCCAGTAGTGTCTGTTTTTAAAGAGAAAAACGTATCGCAGAAAGAATTTAATAGACTGTTTTGAAACCTATCGTAGAAGAAGAAAAGGGCTACCTGCGACTGTTGACCCACAGCATGTCGCTGATCTTGGGTTTTATGAGGACACGACTTTCTCAGCTTTACTTCTCGTTTTCCTCAGTTTTGAGTCTTTGCCAAGGAAGGCCAAATTACCAGGACTACAGCTGATAGACACAGCGGGGGAGGATGACGTCATCGCTGAAGGTCATCCGACCTCTAAAGTTAGAAAAAGATGCGCCCGTCTCCTGTTATACACAACTGCGCATGCCCGGAAGCACTCTTCTCCGTAAGGTTAAGAGTGACGAGACCTCGAGGTTGAATCATGTCAAGGACTGACAACAGACAGGGTGGTGCTATCCAAGATAGCTAACTTTCAAGTTTCGTTTCTCCCCGATGATCAACTATAGCGGCGGGAAGCTGTTCAATGCAAAAATTCAAATGTAGATAATACGTAACACTGGCAACATCTATCACAGTGGGTCACAGTGCACAAACGTATCGAGCACTGCACAGTGAATATCAAGTGGCTTGTGTATTGGACATGGCAGGGTGGACATGACCAAGGACTTCTTCCGACTACGTTATCTTCGCCAAGTCTCCAACACACTAACAACTTCCACCGGCCATCCTCCAATCAGCCGCGAGACTGAAGGTTCCATTCCGCCCACGGATTGAACCATCTCTCGCGGATGGTTGTAGGATGGCCGGCTATTAGAAGAACGCGTTAAATACTCTTCAAAACGCTGTATCAAAATTCCCACCCGCCCCGGAGCCTGCACAGGAGGCTAGTGGAGGCTAACCTGATGGATGATCTTTACACTGAGAGGCGTGGTCCCGTAACCATGACTACCGCCGTAACTTCAGCATCTATCTCACTACCCGTCATCACTTAGTCACTCAGTACGGCCGTTGACCGACACTGATGTCATAGGCCAGGACCCCAGGTGTGCCCTGACATAGGTTCTGCACGCATCTATCTACGGTCCACCAGACAATAAATAGATGAAACCATTTAGGTTGCTGAAAAACTAGTCTAAATTAATATTATATTGGCCAAATTTGGTAGACAATTTGCTAATGGCTTAGCTGATCACCCAGTAACTCAAGGAGTCAGGTGGAGATTAGTATTTGTCAGTTATGTGAGTGACTTGGTAATCTATGACTTCCAGATAGTCATCATCCCTGGGTATTGATAGATGTTGGAAATAGCGACAATACAACACAACAACATAGAGAAAAAGTTTAAATGAATTCTGCTAAAAGTATCTAAATATAGTTCATGATTCTTTCGGACGTTTTAACCAATGTCAATGAAGGAACCTGTATTTTTTTTTTAGAAAAATAAGCTATTCCTGATAACCGTTCGAGGTATGACGGTATGTGCTCGTAATCAAGTTGTGTTCCTGATAGCCTGAAAATGATTTTTTTTCGGCTCCCCACGAAGCTAGGTTATCTGTATGAAACCCCAAACTATTCTTCATTTCCCCACTGATTACTTTCATCTGCAAACTGAAAGTAAAAACCTGCATGAGCAAATCTGCCTAACACCATCCCTGTGAGATTAGTCGGTTGTAATTTGTACGATATATGTGAAGAATGTTTTCTTGTGTTGTTCGAGTTATCTCCGAGATGGCAGTTGGACTTCCCCTGTTCTTGGAACCCCGTAGCAGTAGACAGTTCATTCAAGACAGTCATAGAAAATAGCGTTAATGGTGTTCAAGTACAATTGTGGAGATGTAACCTAAGTTCAACCGCAAAGGGGCAGGAGTCTGGCGTACATTAACTTCCGTCGACAGCCTCAGTAACACCGCAAGTACAGGTTATTTCTGCTGGCTTTTATTGAATGAATGGGCAGATTTCCAACTCACACAGCGGGGGTGTTTGGGACAGTTTTATCTGGACGTCTTAGCGCTTTACAAGGCTTGGCCTGAACTTGGAGGGTCCTAATCAAATCAAGACGAGAGGAAGACCTTGTCTGGCGGACCGTCAAGGAGCGTGACTCACTCACGCGTCTGTAGATAGGTAGTCGGGGGAGTGTCTCAGAGGGAATAGGATTGTGAATCGACAGAGAGACACGGCATCTCTCTCAGAAGACCCGAAGATGATCGTCATAACATTTACGATCCTTTCGTGCCTTTTGACAAACTGTCTCTGCACGGACTTCCATCAGTTTGCGCTCAGGCATGGTGGCGAGGGACCGCCTGAATATCCGAGCTACGCTAGCAAACCCGCCACCGTGGACCGGAGCATGAAGACCCGGTGCTACGGTCGGTTCCTGTGCGGGAACGGCCGGTGTGTGGAGGGGGCTGTGGTCTGTGACGGCGTGTCTGACTGCGGGGACGGATCCGACGAGAGAGGCTGCCGACGACGTATGTAGCTTTTTTCTCATTTGTTTGGAAAAGCTGGAGATTTCTTCATCTTCAAGTTCCCAGGCCAATATGATCGACAGAGGAGGCAGAACCTGGTCCTAGTGTTGCTAAGATGTTATGATATCTATTCTCTCGATATTTCACCGTTTCCCATAACAAAATAGACGTGGGACCTTTTGGGCAATGAGTTGATCGACCAACATTCATCTTACGCATCTCCATTACAAGACAGACACTTTGGTGTTCCGATGATGTGACAGTTTTGTGACGTTCGTAGGACAGAACATCAAAAGATACACAGGGCTTTGTCAGTATGGTAATCATGATTTATATATTTTAATGCTTATGCAACTTAACTCTGCTCTACTAGTGTTGGGAATTTCTTCTGTTCCACCTGTAAGGAATAAAAACATCCAAATGGCGGTATACCTTTTAAATAGCTAGCTCAAGGGAGCCATAGGTGGGGGAGGGGGCAAGAAAAACTGGTGTTGATGTGCGAGCGGCAGGGCGTCTGTTACAGGTCAACGGGGTTTTGTGGAAGAGCCTCAGTTGGCTGTGGATTCTAGACTCAAATAGCCGGCTATTTGCACAAATAATAAAATAACAGTGCAGTGCTCGTTTGCATATTATGTACCTAGATTAGTACCTCGAATTGCACGAGCCACCGTGCAGTCAAGATGTATGTGATGATGATGGGTATAACACCTGTTCGTTATGATGTCTTCAATTTTCCTCACACTTTTTAGATCTCTATTACTGGTGGACATTTCAATGTTTTTCTTAGTTTATCTCTGTTATGGTCATTCCTTTGTGTTATGGGATGTCGTTGGTTCAACTGACTACTTTATAATGACCAGACAATTGAATTTCAAAATCCAGTTTTAACTGCCCTGACATCGCTTTGGGTTCCTCGAAATCGTATGTTTGTGAGAAGATTAGGCTGGCTGCATGCCGGTTTGTTTTGCTACTGTTGGTAAAGCCAGTTGGCTGGCTCGAATCTTCCCCGCATCACAGGTATGTAACCTTTAGTAACCTTCGCCACTTGGCTTGCTGAGACAGTGAACAAAGCACAAACCGATCCAGCTGGAAACAGGCTTGAACATAATAATCTCCAAGCAGATTTCTTCGGGGGCAAGACACTAAAGTTGGCCAGCCTGTAAGCATTAGGCTATACGGAGAAATCTGCTCGGAGATCAGAACATAAGCTTACGCGAGAGAGCCTAGCAAAAACTTCGCTGATCCTGGCATTTTTTCGGTCGACCACTGTCAAGCCTTTTATCAAACCCCCTGAAACGTTGTCCCATGCACACATTTTCAGAAGCAAAGTTCAGTCAATTGGGTGCACCTCCTCATATATAAGAAAACGGAGAGACGGGTCTGGAGACAGCCCATGCAGGCCCTGACACCATGCACTTCAGCTTTACGTTGCTAAACTGCATTTGTTGTTTCAGTTCATCAAAGTAATGAATAGATAAATAAAGAGAATTCTTACCTACCGGCCCTACTTTATTAGGACTGTAAGCTAGGAAACACAATTGCAACATTTCTTCCCGGGAGCCTTCCTCTGCTACCTGGAAAACACCAATAACAAAATGGCCGCCAAACTGACGCATCCATTCCCATGAGAATATTGGTTCATGGTCACCTTATTAAGGACTGTTGTGCCCGTTCGGTTTGATATATTTGTTGTCTGCATTGGTAATTGACACGAGAACAGCCCAAGGTCAGAGTTGTGACCTCTGGAGGATGGGACGGGTCACTGAAGGGCGACGAGAAGGTCAAACCAGTTACAGTTGCCGTGCGTGCGAGGCTGGGTTTGGCTGGAGTCGAACTTTATTTTTCGAAAACATGTTGCCATACCGCCATACCGCTGACTTTTTTTAAATACTATTTATTCACATTGCATTGGCAGCCAAGTTGGCTGAATTACACAAAGTGTGTTACAGATTAAAAACTTGAGAACACAAGTTAAGTACAGAGCGACATAGACCATAGTACTTAAAGTTAATAGTATTGAGACTGAGACCAATGCAAATAATGCACATGTTAATAAGCCACAATGATTCAACGTATAAACGCATAACTTTACTGGTGACTTTGGACGTTACTTCACACGAACGAACGCTTGATAAACGTTTGGAAAATTTGTTCTGTTTGTCCATCTCCTCTGATGATAGAGTCATATTTGTGATTTGTCTATCCGGTCACTGACTACATTGTGGTTTTAGAGTGAACTTTTCCTTTAAAATAGTAGTGAGGTATTCAAGAATGATAAAGTCACTTTTTCATGAAGGATACCAGAGCCTGTCAACAAAGTCACTGAAAGTATTCAGCTTAAAATGTCTACCACAAACGTCATATCTGACATCGTGGTTCACACTGTCTAGCTCAATCAAGGTCCAACCTCTCAACATCAAAGTTAGAGAGTTCTACGGGATCCTGAGGACTAGTGACAGAACTGGTTTTGAAAGACCGCTGACTGAGACAAACGCAGCCCATTTGGGGAATCTTTGATCTCGAATCTAGAGCACCGTGTGAGCTGGTGAAGTCATGGGTACGGATCCGGCAAATCAGAGCAAAAAAATCTAATTTTTCCAAAGCCACTGTCCATATTCCGACTGTGTTATCTACAATGTACGATAAAGTCGGCAAATGTCGGAAAGTGTCATTTTGCCTTATCGCAGTTATCAATGCTTTATGCCCTCAATTTTGGGCCGGTATGCAACCCTGCCCGCCTTGGATGGTAATCTCCACGTGGTCCGAATTCTCCACTTATCTAAATCAAACGGTATTGACAGAGGTCAGGTCCAGCACGCAAACACAGCGTTCAGCGGAGTGGACAGGTTCTTGTGTGTCTATATACCAGCATTTATAATGACGGTAAACCGTAATAAAACAGTTACATGTATGTACTTCTGATACAGTTGGTCAGTACACGAATGAAATGAAGCAAAAAAAGTTAATTTGAGATTTCAGACTTTTGGGAAGTATTTGGGGTTTTTGTGCTTAAGTTGACAGTCCTCCGGGAAGTGTTTTCGTAAATGTATTGGAACTATGGAGGGAATTGTATGACACCACTTCCTGAAATCCTCGACATACCGCCCCACTTTATTACTCCAACCCATCAATCAATCATGCAATCAATCAATCAATCAATCAATCAATCAATCAATCAATCAATCAATCAATCAATCAATCAATCAATCAATCAATCAATCAATCAATCAATCAATCAATCAATCAATCAATCAATCAATCAATCAAAAATCACCTCACACTGACCATTGAACTGAAGCTATTAAGGACAAACAGAGACACAGGTCTACCCGGCAGTAACTGAAGAAGTCTGCCTCTCAACATCTTTTAGCAAATCAACGTACATGACTTAGTTCTTGGTTGGTCTATAGGGGAACATGTGGGCGTAAAACATCACCATTCACACATTCTTTATCCCTGTGCCAGGATTCGGAGATTTCCGCAGTGGTTCTTATTTCGTGCAGGGTATTGACTTCCTTGGCTTTGTTTACAGACTTGGATGCCAGACTGCTGCCAGGGGCTACACAGGCTAGCTCCTCGGCTCCAAGGCCAATGTCCCCAATGAAAATTTACCCCCTCCCCCTGTCCCCGCCCTGTTAGGACGGATCTAGTAGCCTGGATGCCAGACTGTTGCCAGGACCAGGGCATCGAAAGATCTGCTTGGAGGACGTTCTTGGAGATTATGTTGGTTGTCAAGCCCAGTGGAGGATTGGTTCTCAGTATACTCTATACAGAAATATTTGTAGCTATCCTTATATTATGTTATTAAATCCATTTGCCGTCCCTCCCAGGCCCATACGCGTCCGGCCCGGCACCCCCAGGCGGGCTGAACACCCTGCCCACCGCCAGCTGCCAGCGGCAGTGTGACGTCTCGGACCGCAAGCCTGTGTGCGGGTGGGACGGGAAGCAGACCCGGCAGTACACCGGTGGCTGCCAGATGGCCATAGCCTCGTGTGTCCAGATGCAGCCTATTACGGCCACACCTTGTCCAGGTGAGGAATAGTCTCGTAGCAGGCTCCTATGAAGTTCTATCTCATCTTCTACCATTTTCTCTAGACTCACCCTCAAGATCCCTTTTTCAGGGTCAGTCATGCAATGACGGAATTAGTAATGACTAGAGTTTGGCGATCTCATACCTCCATGAAATGCTTAGTGCTTTTGTAAATCTTATGCATGGTGATGACAACCTGTACATGGCTTACATTTTGCAATCCTGCTCATTAGCAAAATTTTCATGCAAAGTATTCACATGGCTCCTACCTAGTAGCATGCAACACACTGGTGAAATCCTTATCATTTGGCATGAACAAGGTATGATATTGTCGGTATATGCAAGCTAGAGACTAATTTTCAGGTTTCATACACAACAAGAGTTCCACGATCTCATACCTTCGCCAAATCATGAAAAAATGTATAATTAGTCTGAATGGTTAAATTCAACTACATTTTTCACAGTGATTATGCAAATTATAAGAGCCTCATTTGCATGAAATATATCAGTTGATCATATTCTCTACCCAACGATCGAGTCTTATCTTAAGAAGGCTATCCTAGCATTTCCTCACAAAGTATGCAAATGAGGTCCTGATTTGAATACATTATGTTTAGTTATGTTCACCTTTACTGAACTTCCAAATATTAAATTCCCAGCAGTTACCAGTATAAAATTGTATCAATTTCCCATTAATTACGCAAAATTAGGTCTTCATTAACATAATGAATATCTACCAATGTTCCTGTCGTTCTCAATTACATATGTCACAAGTGTTTCTTAGCCCTATTATTGAACACATCAGATTTATAGAATTTCCTCATTTATTATGCAGATCCTGATTTGCGTACGCGTAATAGTGATTTATTATGTCGTACCTACATACCAAAAATCACGACGATCCATCAACCAGTTGTTTCGTTATCCTCTCTCAAAGATTTTTAAAGAAACCGTCCTGAACAAATTCCAGAGCAAGCTGCTAGAGGGCCCAACTCACGTGACTTCTTTCTGAGTACAAGAGCTACCTACCATCCAAAAATTCATGACCGTACCATTCCAGATCGCGATATATCAAAACGGAATTTCTGCTGCAGTTCTAAGGGAAGCCACTAGGGGGCCCAAAATCTAATAATTTCCAGTCTTCATCACACCCTACCAACGCATCAAGTATGAAACTAATCCATCCAGCCGTTCTTGAGTTATCTTGTTGACCAACAGACAGAATGACAGACAAACGCAACTGAAAATATAACCTCCATGACATTTCATGGAGGTAATTATTACATGTTTATACTATATAGAGTATGAAACTGAGTCGTAGTTTCTGAAGCCAACCATATAATGTCTGCATCTGTGTAAAATGTCCCATTCAGGCCCGACGGCGTCCTGTGCGACTAACCAGTTCCCGTGCACCACCGGTGCGCAGTGCATCCCTCACCTCAGCCGCTGTGACGGCGTCAAGGACTGTCGGGACGGCTCGGACGAGGTCGCCTGCCCGCAACGTACGTCATCAGTCTTGACCCCATGTCACACATAGCCGAATATGGCCACCCGAACACTGGCGAACTCCCCTAAGTATGGTTGGGAGTACAAAGGACAAGGTCGCTAACTGTTCGGCTGCGCCAGCCGAATGTTTCAACATTCGGGTGTGGACGGGAGGTTGGGGGCCTATCTGAATCTGGTCAGACTGCTCCCAAACTTCAGCCAATCGTGGTTGGTTGGTGGTCGGGTTCTAAATGTATGACAGGGGGTTTAAAAATCATATGCGCTTGTCCTAAAGACGCAAAGGAATTGCACGACTTTTTAAAAAGTTTTTTTCTTAGGTTCTTTTACGAACCTTCTGCATGTTCAAGATTTTGTACAAAGGCTTCTGGTACCAAACAGTCACAAGGGCTGATAAAAATGGAGGTAGTATTTATTTATTTATTTCATCTTAGGACGGCTGGATATGATACTGCACTCTCTCCATCCAATTGCAAGGGGCAATAATTTTGTTCAAACCGCCCACAGCAAATCCCTGCAGTTACAATGCATTCCGCTGTCGGTCCGGCGCTTGCATCCCGAAGCTGAAACTGTGCAACGGCGTGCGGGACTGCAACGACGGCTCCGATGAAGCATCGCCACCTTGCGGTAAGAAGCCGAATAGCACAGTCACGACTTCTAATGCAGGATCTAACTTTGCGATTCAAAGTGTCGTCGTTTTATTTCTATTTGCCATTCCGCAAATGTGTTTTTCGTTTGGTCGTTCTTTCATGTCTTTCTTGAGATCTCTCTTTTTAGTCCATTTGAATTCAACAGCATGACAGACACACGCACACGCATACACACAGACACGCACACAAACGTTGTGGAAATTTATGCTTGTACCACTAACACTGCTGCTGATTATACGATCATACTGAACATATTCCCGGGTTGTCTCCCTGCCAGGCTCTGCTCCCGGTCCCGGGCCGGCCCCCGGTCCTGGTCCCGCCCCCGGGCCTGGCCCCGCCCCTGGTCCCGGGCCGAGTCCCGCCCCCAACTGTAACGTGCTCTGCCACAAGCACACCAGCCAGTGTGACGCTGCCTACAGATGTGTGGTGGGTACTCATAGTATACAGAGAGAGTTTCTGTCGTACACAGACTATATAAGAATATACATGTACGAAATACTAAACTCTTGTAACAGAATATTGGTGAACTTGAGAGTACATTGTAGGTTGTCAACACATGGGTGGGGAAGATTGACAGACAGAATGATACGAGGTCAAATTTCTATCAGACGCAGGGAACGGAGTGAAGTTGAAGGTGACAAAAACCCCAAAGAGGTGCTGGAAGTCTGAAATCTCCGATTTGAAGTCTCTTATGTCTTGTTTTTGCCCTTATTTCCAGAACTGCCAGCACAACACGGAGGGGTACAAGTGTGAGCGGTGTAAGGCCGGGTACTGGGGAGATGCCACCAAGGGAACCCCGCTAGACTGTCGTCCGTTCGCCTCTTACCCCGGCTCCCGGCCTCCTAGCTTCCTCACACCATGATTCACCAGCGCTCAATTGCTTGCGCTTTACAGAAATGCCTCATGGATTTTATAGTCGTGTAGTTTCAAATTTGCAATTGAAGCTGCAGT